TTTATTCTTTTGTAATCTATCGCTGATCGGCCTTCACATTTCAGAAGTCTATTGTTTTGGTATATTGTGCACTTGGTATATTTCAGAAGTCTATTGTATTTCAGAAGTCTATTGTTTTGTTATTATTGAATTTCGTATACTTTCCTCCAAATTGGCCACAAAGTAAACCTCACAGATAGACTTGCAACATAGACTTAACTGTGAGACTTCAAGAAAAATAAAAACCAGTGTTTTTATCCGTTTCGTCCACCTAAAACACGAACAAAACATACAAATTGGCCGCAAAGTAAACTTAATAGATAGACTTAATAGATAGACTTCTGTGTCAGACTTCACGAAAAACTAAAAACCAGTGTTTTTATCCGTTTCATCCACCTAAAACACGAACAAAACATACAAATTGGCCGCAAAGTAAACTTAATAGATAGACTTAATAGATAGACTTCTGTGTCAGACTTCACGAAAACTAAAAACCAGTGTTTTTATCCGTTTCATCCACCTAAAACACGAACAAATCATACAAATTGGCCGCAAAGTAAACTTAATAGATAGACTTCTGTGTCAGACTTCACGAAAACTAAAAACCAGTGTTTTTCTCCGTTTCATCCACCTAAAACACGCACAAATCATACAAATTGGCCAGACTCACAATAAACTTCATAGATAGACTTTCAGATAGACTTCGTCGGCAGACTTCACGAACAACTAAAATCACAAGTCAGTCTTCAGCGACCTGTGTAGTGCAGAAAATGAAAGATGTCAGCTCCTCTCAATGTGGATGCAAAGCATGAAGGGACAGCTTTATAAACTTACACAATTGGGGCGAGTATGACCAGGTTCCTTGCACTTAGAGCAGCTGTACTTCTTATGCGTTTTCCTCGGTTTTGTGTTTTTCTTCCTAGACATCTCTAGCCAAGTTTGCCACCTCGACTTCTTCGGCCTTCCAGAAGGGACACTCTCCCCTGGAGGCAAACAGCGAACAGGCTTCACGTGGGAGTCAGTTCCCTCTTTGGGGTAAATCGGATGTGCATATGTTGAGAACAAGGAAGGCGTCGAATGAGTGGCGCATACGTAATAGGACATGTCGACGTTAGCTTCGGCTGCAGCTGCAATAACATGAGAGCAAGGGATTTTTTCAACGTTATACACACCGCACGAGCATGTTCGATTCTCCAAGTCGACATTACAATCTCGTCTCCCGCCTTTAACATGAAAGCGCCAAGCGTCTATGCGATCTACGATCATACTTCCCGCATAGTAAGACCGTATGGCCAATATGTACTCAACACCTCTGCTGTGTCTGGTTGTGAGACTCAGTGCATCCTCCCGCCTCTTGCTAAACCATCTCCCGAGCTTCTCCCTAATAAACTCCAAAAGACGAGGAATAGGTAATCCTTTTGCTTTCTTGACAGCCGAGTTAATAGATTCTGCGATGTTGCTCGTCTTTATATTGTATCTATCACCTTCAAAATGAACTCTCGACCATAACTTCGGATCTGAGGTCTCTAAGTAAGTAGCTAGGGCAGGGTTCGCAGCTCTTATGAGGTCCATGTAACGGTCGTATTCAGGCACCGTATGGGCGTAGGCTGCACCTTTAACCATATACATTATCTCCTTTGCGTGGAAGTCCTTTACTATATTACCTTGGAGGTGATAGTAGCATATTCCTCTTGATGCCCAGGGCATAACGATTCCAATGGCTCTAGCTATGGCAGCGGCACGGTCAGAGACTATCGCCATTGGCGGAAATTGCCTGAAACAATCTCTAAGCTTGTTGAAAAACCATTCCCATGATTCACTATCCTCAGCATCGACCACTGCGAAAGCTAGCGGGAATATTTGAAAGTTCGTTAGTTATATACTGAAAATGTGAGTATGGCCTCATGTGGAAGTGATGGTATATTCAGAATATGTGAGGACAAAGGGGATAAAAGAGAAACTGCAGCCTCACATAAACGAAGAGATGTCATTTTTTTTGGGGGTCTTAATATTAGAGAGATGTAAGTTGCTTTCAAAGATCTGTCCCAAGAGATCTGCATGTTTACTTTTTAAAATACCTGATTTTGTTTTAGGCCAATAAACTATTTGGATTTTGGCTAATCAATATATTACCTCATGAAAGATTTGGTTAAGTTGATTAACAAGAATCCAAATAATCCAGTAATAATCTAAACCAATATAATAAACGTGTTTTGTGACATGAAGCTTTTAGAGCTAGAGATTAAGGAAAACTCAATATAGGAAGCAATAAATTGAGACTGTTTTTTTTTTTTTTTTTTGTTGGCAATCAATTGAGACTGTTAAATCTTTTGTTTTTCCTATTTTGATGAAATTAATTATGTGAATGATAATGAGATTATGCATCCTATATATTATGCACTTTTTCATGTGATTGTATAGGAGACACAACTATTATTATAATATTTTTTTTGCTGAGCTTCACAATTATTATATTACGAACACCATAACAACGTCAACGTACATCAAATCATCAAAGACAGAGATGATTGATGTACGTAAAAGCATACAAGACCGCCATTATTTATGAGCATACATTATACAAAGGAAAAGGAGGCGGATGATCAGGCACGTACGAGACAAACATAAAAGACACACATGCATATAGATATATATACGACGAAAGATGGTTTTTAAGCACTGCTCTTGAGGACGTGGTCGTCCATGTCAGCAGCTAAGCTCTTGATAAACTTCATGTAGTTGATGGGTTCGGGGGTGTCTTCGTTTTTCTTCTCCCATATGAGAGTGATTTTGCAGACGCATCCTTCACTGGACTTGGGGATGAACTGGTAGATGATGTCAAAAACCTTGAACTGGTCCATCGCGTGACCCTCCACCCCTCTCTTCGTCACTACCATGTTCGCGTCGTCAAGCTCTCTCTTCTCCTTGAACGACTCTTGCTTCCCATCTTCATACACAAACACACACACACACATAACCATATAGCTCGCATAATTACATGCATGATCATATCTACGTTTCTAGAGAAAGTGAGAGAGTAAATTTAAACGAAAGAGAGACCGATTGTGTAGTTCCAGGATCTGATGGAGCCGTGAGAGTCCCAATCGCCATGGTGCAAGTTGACATCTTGGATGTGGTGGCCGATGGCTTCGGGGAAGATGTGGTTTTCGCTCTTATACCTCTGGTAGTGTTTCTCCGCCGAACCCTTCAGGGGCACCTCCGTCACGTATGTTCCTGACGTCGCCATTTCTCGGTTGATTGCTTTCTTGCGAAATATGCCTAGTGGTGTGTTTGATGCAGAAACTCAAGTGACACCCTTGCTTTATATGCACATGGCTTACCACAACACTACAATAAATGAAAATGGCTATTTTAGAGAATTTTATTTCTTTTCGAAATTCATATATATGAAGCATCATATAAAATAGTACTATTTTTAAATACAAATTTTCGTTCTTTTTAGTTAAAGTTAAAGATCTCAGTGTTCAACATCTACTAGATCTTGAATCTGAATGCTTAGTTGAATCCGGAGAAACATTTTTGCATCCATATATATAGTTGACTAATACTAAAACTTTGTTATTAAGTTGTATACAATTTGATAAGGAATAAATATGATAGAGCCTCGAAACTCAACTCAGTTCTGTGCAAACGTATAGGAATTAATACACTCAATAAACATATCTTTAGGTGATTGACCTAATGATGTTTTGTTTATTTTGTAAATAACGAATTTAATTTTGTAAATATGCTCGAATCAAGGTTTAGACTTGGTTAGAATGCCACTATACATAGATAACATAACAATAACTGGATAATTGCCGATAGAAAAGAAGAACAAGAAAATCGGAGAGATGCACACGGGCAAGACGGTTTGCGTAGTTCAATGATCATCGACGTCATAGTTATATTTTGGTGCTTCACACGTACGGGTCTTTGTGTAATCATGTCCATCTATTCCTCACTTGTAGATTCTTTGCATCCGATCCTTTCCGTTAATTCTGATAATTTATTTATAGTACTTTTGTTAAAAAGAGGAACATATACAATTTGAAAACTGTAGTTCATTTGATATGAACATGTTCCTTTAAATTAACTTTGATTCATGACGAGTATTGTATTTAGATAAACGATGCATATCTTATATATGATAGGAACATTGTGGGGGCATTTACATTTAGTGACAGCAATGATTCACCTTTGATTTGTTTTCATCCACACAAAAAAAGTATTTTTAACATGAATATATATATTCTCATTATTCAACATATTCAGTGGCCCCTATAATTTTTTCCTCCACATGAATTTTATGGATGTACACAAACACAACAATCATCAACACAACCATATTTTCAAGAATATGGACCAGCTTATCAGCTATGATATGAATCGATCAATCAAAAACAGCTGTTAAACAAAAAAAGGACAACAAAACAGCTGTAAACAGCTGGTATGATCACTGCATTTAACATGTGGATCTCTCACCTTAACAGGTTTCCAGTAAGATCAAGACTCCTCTCTTGGGGAATTATCGCTGTGGCAGATTGTTGTATCTGTTCAAGGGCCGTAGAAACAAGAGACCACCTCTTTTTTCTATGTGATCTGGGAAAATACTTGCGGCTGAAAGTTCTAGCCAGGTTAAACCCAAACCTTTCTCTGTTTACAGGTCTGGACTGCGAAATCAAAAACACTATCACTTCCCAACGACATAAGCCTCGTTACAGTGGCTTAATGTCCATTTGGCTGCGATAATGAGCACCCATTTTCCCTATTTTAGTTTTGTTTCCTTGTTTTTTATGTCTTTTTTGCCAAGGTTCTCAATTGTCTAAGGCTCTGCAAGCTCTGTTTGTAAAACCTTTCTCTTCATTTTAATGAAATTTACATTCTTAGCAAAAAAAAAAAGGACAACAAAATATAAATAAACCTTAAATAACTTTAAATAAACAGGTAAGAAATAACAAAATAACGATCTCTTTCTCTTGTTGTCCAAAAAAAAAAAGGGATCTCTTTCTCTTGAAATACGTTTTAGGATTTTTTACACATTTCCAAAAACTAGTTGTGTACCAATTACAAAATATAAACTATCTCTATAAAAGAATAATTACATTCTTTTTTAGCCTTATTGGTATGAACACATTCGAAAATACAGTTTCAGATTTACGTTGAAATTTGAATACATCTACGTTTCGTGAAACCCCCACCCACACAAAACAAATCTAAAACTTTTAGTTTAATGAAGCGGAAGGAGTTATTTCCACTAGTATACAAAAAAAAAACCTAGTGAAAGTTGGAGGAGTATATGAGCTTTAACTTTGATGTCCCAATACTGGACCACTAAAAATAAATAACAACTCATCAGTGTCATCAATAACACACATATTGGTTATCCCCAACTTTTTTTACAAGTTCTATCAGATTGAACAAATACCCCTCAAAGTCCATGGATCAATGTTTTCATATATTTCACAAGATCCAACGGTCTTCCATTTAGGTATGAACATATTGAAATAGCAAGAGAGAAATAGCCCCCATTTATTTTGCAGAAACGTATGGGGAATCCCATTGACTCAAACAATAATGAAACGTATACCTTGCATATATATCCACTGATTCCATATTTCCATCCATTGGTGAAAGTCTGTAGACCCGATTATTTGGTTCGCAAGCAAAGCAAAGTCAAACCCTCGTGATAATTCCAGTCTTACTAAGAGGATCATTGGAAAGTCAATGAATAGAAATTTCTCCATGCACTTTTTTTCTTCCTCTCGTTGACTTCACTTATCGAATAATTATTATTATATACTGAAAATGTGAATATGGCCTAATGTGGAAGTGATGGTATATTCAGACTATGTGAGGACAAAGGCGGAGAAAAGAGAAACTGCACCCTCACATGGAACAACGAAGAGATCTCTTCGTTGTTCATATAAGTTTCATGTCACAAAACACGTCTATTATTTTGGTTTAGAAACTAGATTATTTGGATTCTTGTTAATCAACATAACCAAATTTTTCACGAGAAAAAAAAAAAAAACAAAAAAACTTTCACGAGGTAACATATTGATTGGCCAAAATCTAAATAGTCCATTAGTCTAAAACAAAATCAGGCATATACAAAGTAAACATGCAGATCTTTTGGGACAACGAAGGGGGAGAAAAGAGAAATTGCACCCTCACATGGAACAACGAAGAGATGTCCGTTGCTTTCAAAGATCCATTTGTCCCAAAAGATCTGCATGTTTACTTTTTATATGCCTGATTTTGTTTTAGACTAATGGACTATTTGGATTTTGGCCAATCAATATGTTACCTCGTGAAAGTTTTTTTTTTTTTTTTTCTCGTGAAAGATTTGGTTATGTTGATTAACAAGAATCCAAATAATCTAGTTTCTAAACCAAAATAATAGACGTGTTTTGTGACATGAAGCTTATAGAGCTAGACATTAAGGAAAACTCAATATAGGAAGCAATAAATTGAGACTGTGAAAATCTTTTGTTTTTCCTATTTTGATGAAATTAAAAATGTGAAAGATAATGAGATTATATATGCATCTATATACTATGCACTTTTGAAAAAGGACTTCAAAATTATTATATTACGAACACCATAACAACGTACATCAAATCATCAAAGACAGAAATGATCGATGTACGTACGAGCATACAAGACCGCCATTATTTATGAGCATACATTATACAAAGGAAGAGGAGGCGGATGATAAGGCACATACGAGACAAACACAAAAGACACACATGTATATAAGAGGGGTTTTAAGCACAGCTTTTGAGGACGTGGCCGTCCATGTCAGCAGCTAAGCTCTTGACAAACTTCATGTAGTTGATGGGTTCGGGGGAGTCTTCGTTTTTCTTCTCCCATATGATAGTGACTTTGCAGACGCATCCTTCTCTGGACTTGGGGATGAACTGGAAGATGACGTCATACAGCTTAAGCTGGTCCATCACGTGACCCCCCGCCCCTCTCAGCGTCACCGCCATGTTCGCGTCGTCAAGCTCTCTCTTCTCCTTGAACAACTCTTGCTTCCCATCTTCATACACAACCATTACTCGCATAATTAATAACACGCATGATCATATCTACGTTTCTATGTAGAGAAAGTATAAATAAAGACTAAAAAGATACCGCATGTGTAGTTCCATGATCTGACGGAGCCGTGAGAGTCCCAATCGCCATGGTGCAAGTTGACACCTTGGATGTGGTGGCCGACGGCGTCCGGGAAGAGGTGGTTTTCGCTCTTCCACCTCTTGTAGTGTTTCTCCGCCGAACCCTTCAGGGGCACCTCCGCCACGTATGTTCCTGACATCGCCATTTCTCGGTTGATTGCTTTCTTTGGAAATGTGTCAAGTGTTGTGTTTGATACAAATACTCAAGTGACGCCCTTCCTTTATATACACAAACTCACCACAACACTACAAGAAAAGAAATTGGCTACTTGGAGTTTTTTTTGTTTTCTTTTCAAAATTCAAATATATGAAGCATCATTATAATAGTGTCTTTCTAAATATATGGTTTCGTTTTTTTTAAAATTAAGTTAAAGATCTCATTGTTCAACATCTACTAGATCTTGAATTTTAATGCTTAGTTGAATTCGGAGAAACATGTTTGCATCCATATATTGTTCACTTATACTAAAACTTGGTTGGTTTTAAGTTGTATACAATTTGATAAGAAATAAATATGATAGAGCCTCGAAACGCAACTCAGTTCTGTTTAAATGTAACAATAGGCTCGAATTAAGCAAGATCCTAGTTTCAACACCCAATAAACAACATCTTTAAGTGATTGACCTAATGTTTTGTTTAATTTGTAAATAATGAATTTAATATTGTAAATGCTTGAATCAAGGTTTAGACTTGGTTAGAATATCACTGTACATAGATAACAAAACAATAATTGGAAATTTGCCGATAGAAAAGAAGAACAAGAAAACCGGGGAGACATACACGGGCAAGACGGGTTTCCGTAGTTTAATGATCATCGACGTCATAGTTATATATTGGTGCTTCACACGTACGGTTTTATGTGTCATCATGTCCATTTATTCCTCACTTGTAGATTCTTTGCATTTGATCCCTTTCCCTTCTGAGATTTTTAGTACAATTTGAAACTGTAATACATTAGCTACGAACATGTTCATTTAAAACTAATTTTGATGCATGACGAGTATATAAACGATGCATATATTAAAAAAAAAAACTTATGAAAGTTGGAGGGAACATTTGGGTCTTAACTTTGATGTCCATTGGGAGGCCCAAATATTGATCATCCAAACTTTATTGACAAATTTGATCATATTAAACCAATACCCCTGAAAATCCATGGATTTATGTTTTCATATGTTTCACAAGATCCACTCAAAAATAATATGAGGCATCTAACTGATTTTTCAACGAGGAAATGACTGGAGTGGACCTAAAAGTCACATGATCCCTTTCAGTTTCCCACGGTCAAACTTTATTAGTTATCATCATCTTATCGAAAGGACTTTTGCATTTGAAAACTTTGTTAATGTCCAGTATTTTTTATTTTGTTTTAACGCAACTCTTTCCCGGATACTAGACTATGTTACATCAATTCCTTCCCGGAGCCGGTTTTAGAGTACTGTCCAAGAAGTTTCTCTCTAACTTAACTTTAAATTAATAAACAAGATTGCTAAGCTACAACTCTTCCTTTAAAATCGACACATGTAATATAGATGACCAATATTATATATAAATAAACAACGGATCAAAGAGTGTAGTTATCAGTAACTAATACCATTTTCATGTCTTATATTAATTTACACTGACGACTGCAAAATATAGTCATCCCACCATTGAGTTCTTAAAAGGAAAAAAGAACTCCAATAACAAAATGAAAAAAAAAAGTTCTAACTAAATTACTTTTATCCTACTAGGAGCAATCCAAATTAAGTAGACAAAGCTCGTGATTGTAATCTGTTACGTCTATTGAACTGCTGGATGAATTCTTCGAATCTACTATTCAACTCTTCGTTCGACATCTTTGAAAATTCTTCAGATTCTTCTTCGACATTCTCCCATTTCTGCGGAACAACCCTCCATTTCGAGCTATCCGATTCGCTTCGACGATAGCTTTTACGTTTGGACTTTGCCTCTTCGGTAATCTTCATCCGCCGCGGTTTATCTGATTTGGTTCGTCCGTAAGATTTAGGGTTTACATGGTTCCTTATGTTGCAAGCTTCTTCGACGGTAACAATTTCATCAGTAACCGGTTTGGATTTCTCGATAGCTACTTGGTCTCTAGGTTGCTCTTCACTCACCACGTGTACTATCTTCTCTAGAGCCGACGAAATGCACGCGATATCTTTTACCATCGAGTCTTCTTCTCTAGTGTTCTTGATTTCAGCATCTTTCGGGTTCTTGATTTCCTCACCTCTAGGGTTTTCTTGGTATGTGAAGACGGGAATCGGAGAGTAGTTATCTCCACGGCTTCTCATCGCCACAGCCGACGCCGCGGCGTATTCACCATAAAAGTCGTGACTCTCTTTATTAGTGAAGGCCCCATAATCGACGGCGATTATGAGGATGAGAGCGTTGGAGATGAAAAATAAAACCTTTGTGTCTTTGAAGATCGACGATGGAGATACTTCGAAGACGTAAAAGATAAGAATGTAAGTGACGATTGATAAGAAGATAGAGAGCACCGAAGAAGAGTAATAACATCGTTTCTTTGGCTTGTAAGGCTCGAACTTAGGGTTCTCGATCATGTACGAGGGAATTTCTGTCATTTTCTACGTGTCAAAGGAGGAATTGAGAGATATTGAGAGCTAGTTGGTGATGAAGAAATGTTGTGTGGTTGTTTTGATCTTTTGAGGTGTTGCATATCCTTTATATAGTGGTTCGTGGATATGAATGATTGAGTTAATGAATGTTCGACATTGCCCTTGGGATATACATTATTTTATTGATGGATACTTGACACGATTCAGTTTTGTCGCGTCATGGTAATTTACGTGGAAACTAAAGGGCACTCGCATTTGAAACATCTTGGTAGGTGCCCGGCAATTCATATTTAGTAATTAATATAGAAAGCAATATCTTGTCTACCTGAGAAATTACATTGTATAAAAACATTATGCTAAGATAGATACAAAACAAAATTAATTCGGGAAACATATTTGGTCAAGGTCCCAATTGCGGATTCGTGAGCATTGGTACAGCAGATATCGTAACGTCATCATTAGACAGCAACTCAATCAAATATAGTATTATTATACTATCGTTTGTTCTCTATCCCTTTATTTTTGTTGCATTTAATAAATTCACACCTATGCATGTTTTTTAGTAATAGTTGTTTCCTTTACTAACTGTAATGTATTTACTATTTAGCTTTTTAATTTTATTTTACAGAGGTAAAGTATTTACATTATATTATTCTAATGATATCGTAGAATAATATAATGTAAAGAACAGATCTATAGCATTTTATTTGAATTTAGTTGAGTATAATAACTCACTAACCATCGTTTCAATATTAGAGTAATAAAAAAATGAGTGAAATCAACAATTTCTTTGTATTCCTCTAGAAACTTACCATTTAGGTATAATTTGTATTCCTCTAAATTTTAATGGGACACGTAATAAAAGAAAGAATGGTCAATTCATATAAAGAATATTGTTCTTCTACTAAAGAATTCAAGAATCACAGAAAAAAAACTAGAGGAAAAATGATAAATTCCACTTATACTAATTGATTTGTCAAATTGAGCATTCAATTGATTTGTCAAATTCTAAAGTCGATTGGTCCTAACGTGATTAATAAAACTTCATTAGAAAGGCTAAACAAAATTGCAAAGAGATACTTATGAAGTATGAACCGATCTATCTTTGTCAAGAAAGATGATTCTCGAGTGAGAAAGAAGAAACAGAAGAACAATCTGCATTTATAGTTTATAGTGGTTTATATGCTTGGTTTTTGTTATGTTCCACTTTCCCGCAGCACATGACTAGTTGTTCTCCATCCTTCATTCACCATTTCGTTTTCAATTTTTCTTGATCTTATCTCTCATACACCAATCACAAATGTTATATATATCGTAAGTGTCACCGGAAATATAAAATTCGGGAAACTTTATTTAATTTTTTTGTCAAATAAACCCTTTAATATCAAAACGTCTAAATTTACATAAGCAGCTCAATGAAGATCATACGGCTGTTATTTCTCGCCATGGTCAACAAAAATATTTGTCCACAATAAATTAAAGATTCACAAATTTCCGTCTCAATTGCTTCTCCAATTTCTGAGATATAATTTTTGTTATCTTGGTATGATACATAAGCCTTATAATTATACTTCGCTATGTAGCATCTTTGCAAATGTTAGAATTGTTTCTTAATCTTGTTCAATGGAAAAAGCTGTGTACACTTCAGTAATGTCTTTTCCATTTATCTACTCTGCCATTTCAATATATATATATAGCCAATCAGAATTGGGATGGATGAAAAGAATCAAAGATCACAACAGAAATTATAAGTAAACTATCAACAGAGACCTTGTACGTCAAAACGTATGAAGTGGCAATGGAGAATAACCAATTTTTGGTAGATTTGTTTTTGGGGTGGGGTGGGGGGAAGTTGAAAATTAAGTGAAAAATAAAGAATACTAATAATTTAGAGAAAACTAAGAAGAATAACTGATTGAAATGTGGTTGATTGAGATTTTTGTTGTTTTATACGTGTTTATTCTGTCAGAAAATTTTCACAACACAAAATTTGCACCTTCTTCACAACACAAATCAAACACCACTTTTCTCTTCAAAGTCAGTAACCGCCGCTTTGGCAATTTCTTGGACAATACACTTGCCTCTCTGGAACAGATACGTCAAAATAATCTTTAAGAATTTTATCAAAAAAATTGAAATAGATGTTTTTAACGTATCCCTTCCAGAAATAATGTATTATCTAGGAAATTGATGAAGATGCCGTGAAGATGGTCCAACTCCACAACCACTGGAAGTCGGCTGAATTTGTCCACCGAGTCTCAACTCCCATGCCTCCTCCACCGAATAGAGGAATGAAGAGAGAGCCACCGGTCATCACAACAACACGCTTCAAGGTGGTTGCTCAAAGTGCCATAATCCGAGCTGGGTACATCGGGGTCGATGAAGACATGAAGCTCATGGGAAATGACGTGTGGGTTTGTACCATGCAACGTCCCCAACCAAAAGACGACTCCTCCTCCGAGTAAGGCAGAAAATGAAAAAAAAAGAAGACATATTGATTATGTCTTGTTCTCCACTATCTTCACTTTCTTATGTTTAATTATGTTGGCTTTGTGATCTCTATCTGTATCTCTGTTACTGTGTGCGTGTATCTGTTTAATTAATTGCTCACTTCTTTGTTATTGTGTGCTTCATGCTTCTATAATATTATAAGTTAATGCTTTCTTAATTATAATTGAAAAAGACCAAATTCTGATCTGGCATGGCATCAGAGAGAAAGAGAGATATCTTTTGATGATTTCATAGAGATAAGAGCATCTCCAACCCACCCTTATATTTCCCTTTAAACACTATTTTAGTGTAAAACTCATCTCCAACCCACCTTTATATTTCCCATCAAAATAAGGGAACACTATAATTTCCCCCAAATATAGTGTAACTTTTTTTCTTCCTTATTTTTTATGTTATACTTTTTTATTTACATAATGATCCCTCAAATTTAACTTGTTCTTATTTTGAATCTAAACAAATAATAAATTTTTTTTTTCTCTCTTATTTTACTAGAACTAATCATAAAACATTATATTAAAAAATGACATGACTTATATTATGAAAAGGAATTAAATTTCTACTTTATTCATTACAAAATAAATAATTAGAAAGCTCTAAAAAATTAAGTGAGGCTAATTTGTAAAACTTATAAATAAAAGGTTCTTACAAAATTTTTGAATTAGAATATACTATAGAAAATTCATTTTTAGTGTAAAAAATAAGGGAATATATTGGAAGAGAAACATTACAAATTCTGTCTAATACATTGGAAATGGTCTAATTTTAACTACAAATTCTGTTTCAGTAAAAAAATTGACTACAAAACCTAGTAACTAGATCTAATGTTTCAAATATGAAGTAGTTTTACTTTGTTTTATTCATGAAAACCCATAAAGGTCAAAACATTTAGTAACTAAATCTAATGTTTGACTACAAAATCTGTTTCAGTAAAAAAAAAAATTGACTACAAAATCCAATGTTTCAATCAACACTCCCCGAATCAAACATCTACAAATGATGATCATCGAGCAGATTCCAATTTTGACTTTCGGAAACTATGACATGGCAAAGCTTACTTCATCGGGATACTAACATGCAAAATTCATATCATTAATTAGATTCATCCACACAAATAATCTTTATACTAGGGTTTGACCCGTGCCCTGCACGGGGTGATAGTTTCTGAATTTGTATTTTTATTAAAAATGTTTATTTAAATATTTCGACATTTTATGCGAGAGATTTTTAACCTTTGTTATTCGTTTATAGTATGAAATTAGGCATTTTAATCCATTTAAAAAAAAATAAATTAAAGCATTGATCGTAACCACATATTAAATATGATAGATTTAACCGAGATACATAAAACTCAAATAACTATAATATAATAAGATAGTTTAAAGAAAAAAAATTGAAAATAAAACATTATTCTTTAGAAAAATTATACATCATGTATTTCATAAGATAAAAAGTTTTAGCTGTGTGGACACGGATTAGAACTAATTTTTTTCTTTCTTTCAAAACTAAAACATGCTTTATTATAATTTCAAAACAATCCAACCAATCAGAAAATAATATGCAGAATCCAAATTGTCAAAACAGCAAAAATATAATTAATTTTGTATAGAAAGTTGAAACAGATAGAGTAATATTCAAAAGTTTAATCAAAATAAAATATTTATAAAAAGAACTTTTTTATTCGATTTAATTATAGATTTTAATTAAAAAACCATATTAAATGAAAAAAAAAATTACCTTTGGATACCTACTAAATGAGGTTATATACGAAACAATTTATATTATTTTGTTTTTAAAAATTCAAATCATAACATGTACAGAAAAAGTTTTAGATTTTTTTTGATAGATTTTTTATATTGTGATTCAAATTATTTTATTAAATAAATTTAAACAAAGATGATAGAAGATGTATACTGATTTTAAAAGAAATTATTATGATGAATTAAATTGAATCTCATATCTTCCTTATTTACTAATTTTCGTAGTTGCCAATTAAGGAAAGAGAATGATAAATTTAATTTCATTATTTGGTTGTAAGCATAATATGCAATGGCATATATTGTAATTTGTCTAGTAAAGCTTGTCTTAATTAGAAATTGCTCTAAGAGTGAACCTAGTGATGACACCTAAGCAATGACATTCTTGTTAATAACACATTAGACAAAGGTTATTTAGTTAGTGTTTTCTCTTTTAATATATTAGGGATTAATCACATTTCGCTTGAAGTGTATTATTCTATAAGAATGTTGGAACAACTTTTGCTTTAAAAAACTAAATACAACAATGTCTTAAAATTATGGATCTCACATCAGTGTCTCCAGCTCATATCAGTACCTTAATTAGAAAACTGGACAATGCACTTGGCGGTTGCAAAACTAATGTCTCAAATCATAAAGGAACTTCAGATGCAAACTTGTGGGTCTTGAAAGGGATCATCACCAAGCTCAAACATACCTCACCTATACCTATGGTTCGAACACTTTCAACACTCACCAATTCCACAAGCAGATTCCTACACACAATCGGATTACCAACTCCTGACTTTGTCTTATATTTTGACATTTCTATGTTCAGTGTTCTGCTGCTGCTCAACATGCTTGCTTTTTCCTCTCGTGCCTTTTTATGTAAACGAGTTCTCTAAAATGTCTCCTTAAGAAGACAGCTGATATATCCAATAAAAAAGAGAGATGCTTTCAGGGAAAACAAAACAAAAAAAGCTCTATTAGTCACAAAGCAATCGTGTACAATATGAAGAAGATGAAGAGTTTTGTATGAAAGAACAAAAAAACAAAACTCTTCAAAACATTTTTTACGTCAGAATGTAATAAAAGCAATATGATGCGGAATCGACGAAACATTAGAGATAGATGATGTGATAGTCATAGATAGAATATATGTAAGACTCAATACTTTCGAGATATATCACATGTTTTGCTTGGACCACCATTATAACAACATGAAATCTCTTTACATTAAAACCAAAAAAAACAACATGAAATCTTCAAAGACAGATGATATTTATAAGAAAGAGGGATCTTATAAGATTCACGAAGGACAGAAACACATAAGCATACAAGACGACCGCCATTATTATCAAGCATAAAAAAGATTTACAAAAGGAAAGGAGATAGGCGGATGATTATGTGCGATACAAACCACAAAAGACACACGTATTTAAAGATGGTCACGGTCGGTGATGATTAAGCCTTATTCTGGTTCTTGAGGATGTGGTCGTCCATGTCAGCCGCCATTTTCGTGACGAACTTCATGTAGTGGACGGGCTCTGGTACATCCTCCTTGCGCTTCTCCCACATCATAGTGACTTTGCAGACGCAACCTTCCTGCGACTTGGGGATGAACTGGAAGATGACGTCATACAGCTTAAGCTGGTCCATCACGTGACCCTCCAGCCCTCTAAACGTCACCGTCATCTTCTCGTCGTCAAACTCTCTCTTCTCCTTGAACACCTCTTGCTTCCCATCTTCATACATACAGACGATCCTAGCGTTAAAAGGAAACCCTAGCTAGTAATGTTTATACATATAAGGTAGAGAGAGTAAAGCGAGGACCGCATGTGTAGTTCCAGGACTTGATGGCGCCGTGGGATTCCCAGTCGCCTTCGTGGACGGTGACACCTTGGATGTGGTGGCCGACGGCGTCCGGGAAGAGGTGGTTTTCGCTCCTCCACCTCTTGTAGTGATTCTTTGCCGACCCTCTCAGAGGCACCTCTGTCACGTATGTTCCTGACATCGCCATGTTGAAGCTTATAAAAAAAACTTTGTGATTGATTTCTTTAAAAGTGTGTGTGCCAACTATTTTTTGTTTTGGTTGATTGAAAAACGAAACTATCGCTCTTCTTTTATATACATAAACTCCTCACAACATTACAAGAAGCCAGACATATATGTATACGACTTTTCAATACTCAAATATATATATATATAAAATTAGAAAATAATACCTAGTATTATACAATGTTTGATTCTTTTGAGTTAGGTATATTGTAGAGTTTTGACTAAATCTTGTTTTGTCTTTTAGCTATAAAAATGTTACGTTGGGACAGAAAAAAAATGTAACGTTCGAGCATATTAAGGAAAAAGGAAACGACCTACAGAGACGGCCAAGAAAAGTAGGTGGAACTTCGACGGTTTTGGGGATTTAAATGCTTCTCAACGTCATTGTAGCATTGTTTGCCCACACGTGTGGTCTATGTGTCATCATTTCCAGTTTTCCACTCCTTACTTTGGATTCTTTGCAACCCTTTTCCTTCTCAAATAAAATGTATAGGATATGAGTAACCGTGTTATCTAGTTATGGACCCTTTGATTATTGATTTTAGAAGTAAAACTAGTCATTGATAATAGAATGAGTCATTTCACTAACAAAACAAGACTGAATTTGTGTGTATTCACTGTTTAAGCTATAAAGATTTTTGATAAAAACATTAACAACACTCAAAATATGAAGTCGAATATTGTTATGTTGAAACAGACGCATTAAAATAACAAAACGAAACGACTTCAAATTCCAGATGGAAAAGTTCTCATTTGTCAATAAAAAAAAACCAAGTACTTCAAATCAAAGGAGCAAAACAAAAGCCCAATATAAAAGGCCCAATTTTAAATTCCGGTTTAGTCAACGTGTGTCCAAGTTGGTTAAGGCTTGACGACGGTGTAACCACCATCAACGGCGAGGTTGTGACCACTAACGTAAGCAGAGTCATCAGAGGCGAGAAACAGAGCAGCTTCCGCCACGTGTCGAGCCTTGAGCACAATGCCCTTCAGATTCGCTTGCGAGCTGAAGAACTGCTCTATCTTACCCGCCTCCATCCTGAAACCGTCGCACACCATCGGCGTCGCGATCCCAAACGGCGCCACACCGTTGACTCTGATCCCGTGTTTCCCCAATTCACCGGCGGCCGATTTGATCAGACCCAAGAGCGCGTGCTTCGACGCTGTGTAACCGTGCGGCGTCGTCGTCCCCGTCCCCGCGATCTTCGCCGCGACGCTCGTGGTGCACACGATTGAGCCACGTGTCCCACTCTCCACCATGGAGCGCGCCACGTGTTTAATAAACGCCGCCGCGCCACGGAGGTTGACGGCCATGACTCTGTCGAAGTCGTGGAGGTCCAGGTCGAGGATGCTACCTTGCTGCTTCTCTAAAACGCCGGCGTTGCTGAACAGAACGTCGATCCTGCCGTGTTTCTCGACGGTTAACTTAACGGCGTTTTCAACTTCTGTCTCGTCTCTAACATCGCAGTGGTAGTAGCTGACTTTGTCTTCCCCAATCGAAACGGCGACATTTTGGCCGATTTCATCTTGCACGTCCGCAATGACCACTCGAGCGCCGTTTTCCGTGAACAGCCTCGCGGCTTCGGCGCCAATCCCGCTGGCTCCGCCTGTTATAATTACGATTTTGCCCTCCAGTCTGAAACATAATGACAATTGACAAGTAAATAAATCATATCGAGTGACTACTTTATGTCTTTATATCTCTATGTGACATAATGGCAATGCGAGAGATGAAGAATTTGCCTGCGTCCCGACGACATTGTTGAGGCACTTCAAATTCAAAGGAATGAAAGATCAAAGTTTATGCAATGGATCCACTTTATGCGTGATTTGATCGATAGATTGATTATGGTTAAATATACGCACATGGCTTGTTGGTCATTTTTAAATCAAACCTTTTGATTTTGTACAGAGTAGGAAGACAAAAGAATGATTTAAGAAATCATAAATCATAGATGTTTTTGCTCATGCAGCAGTACTCAACATTATCGCTATGTTACAAAACAATATTTTTTGACAGCCTTGCTTTTGAAACATAGAGAGAGACACAGCATGCACACATACAATACAATACAAAAGCAGCCAAGAACATGAGGTAATTCGTCATCATCGGTTAATTTCATTGTTAATATTTGTTACAGAAAAATTTCATTGTTAGTTTCATTGTTTTTTTGTTTCAAAAAAATAGGTTACTTATATTTCCCTAATAATTTGGTTACTTATATTCATATATGACAATGTGACATCAATTGAAAATGAAAAGGACGGGCAACGAAAGTTTGCTAGCCTATATAAAATGGCCAAAAGATAGATAGTAAAACCTACTTTCATCATTTCCATACCACTGAAACTCATATAAACATTCCAAAGTCATATCCCAAAACTTCAAAGCCTCAAAAAGATCCTATTTTCTTCCCCAAAATTAAAAAGTCAGCGTTGAAACTTAGAGCATGGGCTACAACAAAGATCTACTCACATCTCTTCGTCTCTGTAGCACCAACTACACAACTTCTCACATTCTAGCTCAATGTACCAAAACCCTAACTCATATATCCTTATTCTCTATACACTATTTTCTGCAATGCTGCTTATCTGTAAATATATATAATATTCTTGGATCAACACGTTTTCAGCCAGCATTAACGAGAACAGAAACGATGAACATAACATGGCCAAATCCTCGGGGGAACCCAAAGAACAGTCACGGTGGAATCCGACGCCTGAGCAGATGATGGCGCTTGAAGAGGTTTACAGAAACGGAACAAGGACGCCGACGACCCAGCAGATCAAAGAGATTGCATCTAAGCTCCAAAAGTATGGGAGGATCGAGGGAAAGAACGTTTTCTACTGGTTTCAAAACCATAAGTCAAGGGATAGGCTGAAACGACGCCGTCACGATCAACAAGGATTTGCTATCAATAACGTTAACGAAGAAGAACAACTACGTAAGGAACACGTCGTTGTAGCTAAGGGAAACAAGGCTTCATCATCAGGTAATCTCATTTTGAACATTTTGAGTATCATCGGATGATTAAAATCAAATGACATTAGTACTCCATTATTAGTCCCGAGAAGGAGAGATGATCATCGAGTTATTCACACAAGGACTTGTTTATCTTCTTCTCCCACACAGCCACAGGTAATTTCTAGCTTAATATTATTTAGTTTTATTAATTGCATAGAAAGGTTATAACATACACATACAAAACGTCTACAACGTCCGTATATAAGTATATAGACATGTGTGGAAGAATAGTTAGACAGGGCAAAGAAAGGTGTATTTCATAATTTAAACATATGGTCTCTTTATTTTTATTAAAGAATCGCATTTTTCTAATTTTATGTGTTTTGTTTTTTCTTTTATCCTCATCAGAACAAGAGAATTTATGATGGGAAGAGGGTAGAATATGAGAGGGGATTGGCGGAAGAAAAAGAAGCCACTTGTCAAGATCAGATAAACCCAATCAACACTTCAGACTTTGACTACCATCTGATCATTACTTCTACAAGAAGTCAAGAAACAGAGCACCAGTACAATCTGAATGAAGAAGAAGAAGAAGAAACAAGGAAAAGCCGAACGCTAGATCTCTTCCCGGTTATAGAAGACCAAGAGAAAACCGGTTTTGGAGAGAAGAACACAAAACCAGAACAGTTGTGCTGCAACTACTATTATTATTACGAGTTCATGCCTCTGATGAACTGAAGCCAAAACCCATGTGGATAATAAAGAGGGTCGGTTGGGTTTATTTAATGAAGGTTTTGTTGCTTTGTGGTAAAAAAGGTTTCAAGTGATGCGTTTGAAGAAAAGTGTGAAAGAGAGAAAGGAGGTGGTAGATGGAGACGTGTAGTAAATGTTTGGTAGATATATTACGTAGAATGTGAAGTTTCGAGCATGTTAAGGTTTGGAAGCTGAGACTATGTGTCTGAAAGCTTCGATGTTTCGTTGTCTGTGTAAGGAATATATTTAAGTATTGGATGTGTGTTGTTACTTGTTAGAGGTTATTAAATGGGGTTCAAGTGGCTGTCTTTTTCTTCTTCATCAATTTATCTGCGACTGTGTGGGAAAAAGATTGATATGGAGATGACATTTGAATTAGATTCACTGTCTACATTCCCAGTAGATTAACAGGACTTTTTTAGACGGCATATTTTCAGATATCAGTATTATAATTTTGGAAGAAGTAACAACAGAGAAGCTAAAACATTTCAAAAAATCGTGTGAATAATTCACCAAATTTAATCAGAGTTACATATATGTATGAGTTTAAAGGCATGTGCTTACAAAGCGAACAATAGATGTCCAATGAAATTAATTTTTGGAAGAATGTAGTGGATGTCAGCACTGAGTGTCTGAAATAAATGCGTCAAGTGATACTCAGAGAGTCTAACAGGATTAGTAAGGGGCTTGTGTCTTGTTTTTGATGGCTCTTCTACAATATGACATGGACTTCCTAGAGCTTTATCTAATGTCCATGACCACTCGTAATAATCAGATTCTCATGACTTTATTTCAGTAACTATATAGATCAAAGCAATGTCATTAGAGACGAATTTTACACAAACACCACATTCACTTCGGAGAATCAGAAGAATGTATAATGAGAAGAATTCAAAAGCTATTACAAAGAATTTATATATAAAAAAAAATATTTAATTAAAAAAACAAAACAAAAAGCAACCGATCAATGTACAAAACTTTTTGTGCAGCTTTCTTCTCCCCTAACCCCACATTTATTTGTGGGCAACCCACAACACTAGACACCAAATTTACAATAAGCAAACGCTTCAGCACAAAAAGATCCTCTTCGCCCACAAACAAAGGGGTGAATCTTGGTGGGAGCTAATCTCAGTTCCTCATTTTAGATACATCAACTTCAATGTGTCAAAAATAATCTACCCAATGCTTTGGAAGGCCCTGCCAAGCGCAGACTAGTCCTCTCTTTCCCGCTCTGTTTGGATCCAGACGTGGCCAAAGAATTCAAAGAATTACCAATGAAGTGAAACTAAATAATGGAACAGATTCCAGAATCTCGGGCAACAATGTGTCAGGTGGTTACTGCAGTTTTGTTCCTCCGGCACATACAGTCAGGGCAAGGGAATATGTAAATGGAGTCACTAGGTCGTTTCAGCTCAAATCCCTTGGAGTCACTATGGGATCTCATGCTTAGCATTTGCCGTTTAAAACTTCTCCATCTGTGAAATCAGAAACAATAAACCATTGAGGAACCAACCAGAAACTATACACCACGAAGCATGATTTCAAGTGGAAGAAGTAAGAGTCGTTACCCCAGCTTGGGATTGTCAAAGAGTATGGCTAACTTTCGCTTGTCTGGCCGAATCGTCTTCGAATGTCCTCCAAACAAATACCTCCGATGCCCCATGAGGAAGTGAGGGAAGTTTCCACCTTGTGTTGTCACAAATACCTCACTGTGGAGGCACACTGTGTAATCTAGTGCAGCCATTCTCGAGGAGAAGCTCTGCGCACAGACACATAAATTTGTAAGTCAGAAAAGATTGATCACTTGGATGACCAAACAGAGGAAACCAAAAAGCAGACCTTAAAAGGAGCCAGTTCTTCTTCAGACGCAAGCATCTCCTTCGTCTGTAGATTAGGGAACATCTCGAGTAGTGGAGCCATTGTTCTATTCGCACTATATATCGGCCCGGAGGCCAAGTATATGTATGTACTTTTGTTGAAGCCCATTCCTCTAAGCATCAAACCCACCTGATAGGTGTACAATGAAGAATATTGAACCAACAGAAACAAGTTAGTCTACTCACATCATTGCTCAAAAGGGTTTACATTTTGCACAACTACTCTGATTATTCCACAGCAGTTATCTATGGATGAATATGATACAAAGATATTCTCATAGTTACTCCTCAATGTAGACCGGAATCAGAAGAAAAAGGGCTTACCTCTAAAGGAGTTAAAGGGCATTTTCCATTGAGCCTGATAGCTCCTGGTCGTATCACACGGCCCGGTTTTGTAAACTTCCCTTTCCATCCCCGTTCTCTCGCCGCAATCATGTCTTCTTTTTCTTGCTCGCCACCATCAAATACACAACAAGAGAAAGCTACCATATCCTGCAAACATGTTTTTAATAATGTGTTATATCTTTCACCTCACACATACATCTGTTCTGAGTATAAACATAGACCCATGATAAAGACTGATGGAAAATTCGTGAATCGTTTACAAACCTCTTCAAAACGAAGATGCACAGAAACATACTTCCCGCCATTGTTTGCACTAAGGTCTTTCATTTTCTTCACCAGTGTTTCTCCTTGGGTCAGTATGGGTTCCGCAAATCGCAGAGCTACATTATTTGCCAAACATCTAAATCTCTGGACAGCTCGGGGAGCATCAAACGAAAGTCTATTTGCAAATGGGGAAATTCTTATAACCCTGAGCCATGAAAACACAACAACAAATTCTTCAAAAACCTGAGTCCTAAAATAGAAACCAACTTTTGTTAGTTAGAGAAGATGGTGACTCACTTTTCCTCAAGGAGCTTTGGCAGGATTGAGTCCCGGTAATAGTGAGTGGGAGCCCATGCTTTGACTCTGAAGTTGTAGACATTTGTCAAGTTAAAGTCAAAACGCTCCATCAAATATTCAGGAACTGAATCGACCACCCGCACATCATTTTCCAATGTACTGACAAAGTATTCTTCATCATAGATGTCCCCAAATTTACTGCAAGGAAAGCCATATGTCAGAAAGTATAAGAAAAAGAGATCGCTTTGCTAAATTTACAACACCAAGAGAAATAAGATTAGAAAAACAAATAATCCGAAACCTCGGATCTTTCCATATGCTGTGATAGTGAAAGTTGGGAATTACAAGGGTCGCATTCAGATAGCCTGCCACCGCAACCGCATTGCATATCTAAGCAAAACATGGTAGAGACAAGTCAACAACTTTACCTTACACAGGCAAGAAGGCTAGAGTGAAACAAATCAATCTACTGTAAGATGAAAAGATATGAGAAACGTACTGAAGTCCGCTGCTGATTCAATCCTCCATTTGCTTCAATGAATATGAAACCATTCGACTCAGGCAAAACTACAATTACCAACACAATTGATTATGACCAAGGCCTGTGTAATTCTGTTCTTCGTGCAAAGCTTTACTAAAGGTGTAGTTTTTGCATCAAAAAGAGAACGTTTTGACATGAAATGCATAGGAAAAGCACAGTTTTTGAAGAAACTACGAAAGCTATGCAATACCTCCGGTAGACTTGTTAACGCACGGCTTCCATTCCACACCTTTATAAGAACGTTTCCAAATTGTTGATATCTGAGATGAATACAATTGCATTGACGAAACGTGAGAAAGGATAGCATCTAAACAACAAATATCTTATATAAAGAAGCAGCTGTATCACTGACAATCATAAACAGAGGTGATACAACTCCTAAAAAATTGTACTTTAATTGAATCAATCCTAAAACTCATGAGTCATGAGGCCAATGCTATCAGAGCTGAAAAAACTAGACAAAGCAAATGCCCACATTCTCAAAACGGATTTTCAGAGAAGAGGCAAACCTCACCGCATCAGCCGTGGTACTATCGGCGTCAATCTCGGCGCGAAGCCTAGCGTAAACCTGGGGGCTCCTGTAAACGGATCCCGGCGCCGGACGGGGACGGATGATGGGAGCCACTTCAAACCACGCCGCGCGCATGTGAAACAGCATACAGGAGATGTAGATTAGAGGAGCTAAAAGGAGAATTCCCCGACGCCGGAGAAGAACAGACAAGAGGATGCAGCAGATGCGGTGAGCGAGCGTCCGGCTCGGCTGACCAGAAGGGAATCGGCCGGAGGATTTTGAACGGCTCCGGCAGAGACGAGGTGACGACGGCGGAGAAGGAGTAGTGGTGTGGCCGTTTTCCGGGAGCCGATTTTGAATCGGCAGATCTCTCTCCACCTGGGAAATCATTTGTTTCCCCCCTCCTCCTTTCGTCAGCGCGCTACGCCATGAATAAACATCCTTGCATTGCAGCAAATGACAGGTGGAGAACGCCGATTGGACAGATTTATCCCGGCGACGGAGAAACTGTGAAGTGAGATTATATAATATATCAGAGTTTTATATCTGTGTACATTCGTGCGGTGGGAGCGCGGTAGATCGATCACATGCACTTTCTGATTTTATTAACTATTGGCTTATTCCTGGGTTTTTCGCAACTTTTCTTATTTCTCAGGATCTTTCATTTCCTTTTTAATGGAAGATCTTAAATTCATTTGATTTGAATGCACTAGTTTCTGCTTATGGTCTCTTTTGGATTGGAAGATGGCAATTAGCCAAAAATAGCCTCATGCTAATATGCTATAACACAGTTTTTGGTATTAAGAATCAAATCAGAGACAATGAAACATAATGAAGAGATATTTGGATCAAACAAACAAATAATGTGCCATATTGCAACTTCATTGCGACAAGACAATACATATTAACATTGTCCAACACATAACCGACCAGCCAAAAACCTTTATTTGTATCTTTTGAAAACTGAAGAAAACTAGAAAATAAAATTTCAAAATTTTGAATACAACGATGCTGGAAATGGTTCTGTTTCTCGACCTGATCCAATTGACAAATTGTATAAAATGTGAAGCCATAGACGAAATCATACAATTGAATGAGGTTAGTTTTAGTCGGATTAATCAGGCATACGAGAATTAAGCTCGAATACACACATTGGCTGTAGCAATTGGCAGTAGACACAGAATATCAACAGAAAATGGAAAAGACAAAAAGATTTGAATCAAAAGAAGCAACGCTTGTGTTATCCATATGATAGCATTTGGTAAATATTTGAACGGGATTAAGACAACACTTAAAAGGTTCAATGATAAACTACAAAGACCAACCACATCTCCAAAAGATAACAAAGTTATAAATGATTTTTCCTTCTCCTGCAGACTCACACAGCTTGCTCTAAGTGAAACTTAAGAGTTTTCAATCCTCGTGCAACGTGCCCAAAACATCCTCATCCCTGAAGAGATGGTACCTGCGTCCATCACAAAAACAAGAAAAAGTTACTTACAAAATGAAATCAACATGTACATATTGAAATTTGCATTCTTTTCCATTGATCAAGAGTTCTTAGGGATTTTGACAAACATATTGCACTAAAGAATTTCAATGTTATTCGGCTGTTCCAAATTTTTCATATTCTGATGATCCGATATGAGTCTACGATCAAAAACACTTGGAATAGCAATTTCTAGACACCAAAGTAATTTTTCTATCAGATCAAAAATCCTATTTCCTAATGCTTTGAGAAAGCATCTACGATGTACAGCTAAGAAGGAAACAGGTTTGACTTACTCGTTCTCGCCGAGCTTGACTTGTGTACCACCGTACTCTGGAAGGAGAACAGTGTCGCCTTCCTTGACAGAGACCGGGATCAATTTCCCGTCTTTATCCCTTGATCCGGGTCCGACGGCTATCACCTTGCCGGAGTTGAGCTGAAATCAACCGGAAATGCTCGTTATTTTCAGATCTTCGAGGCGAAATCAGAAGATCAAATCGCGAAATGAACACTCGCTCGCTTACCTTGGTGGATTTCTCTGGAAGGAGAATGCCGCTTTCGGTTTTCGCAGGCTGGACGACTCTCTGCACGAGGATGCGGTTGAACGTTGGGATCAGACGCTTCATCATTTCTTCCTAATCAAGCTAATTTCTCTTCTCTCTCGGATGAGTCGGTAATTCTAGGGTTTGTGAGTTTTTAATTGGGGGAGAGACAGAGAAGACGGGAAGGTTCTAGATCGTAGGGTTTAGCGTGACGAAAAAGGCCAAGGGTTTTTGAGATTATTCGCTCTATTTGGGCCTATAATGGGCCTACCCCGTTTGATGACTGGGCCGTGTAACTGCACAAAGCCGAATAAGTTGATAGTTACTTGTCTAGTCTTTTAGTAAAAAGTCGATCACAAGGTGCTCGATATAATTCCTGAAAGAAATTTGCATTGGTTTCTTACTCTGTTTGGATTTCGGAGGGTGTGAAGATGATTCTGATGGATATTTGCAGTGAGGTTATAAAGATCCAGAAGCTACGAAGAGTCGTCTCTTACGCCGGATTCTATTGCTTCACTGCTGCTCTCACATTCTTCTACACAAACAACACGTAAAGCTTGACCCTCCGATCTCGATTTTTGATTCTTTCGTTCTTTTGTAATTTCGGTGTCTATTGATCCTATCCGGATTTGCAGAGTTTTGCTTTGATTTGTAATGAACGGGTTTCGAATGTTATTGTAGAACAAGAGCTGGATTCTCTAGAGGAGATCAGTTTTATGCATCTTACCCTGCCGGGACCGAACTTCTGACCGACACAACTAAGGTAATTTCCTCAGAGACTTTTGAGTTTGGTGTAGAGTTTAATTTGTTCTCTGTGATAATATACATTTGCGTGGAAAATTGATGGAAATGGGTTTTGGGTCGTAAAGCTGTACAAAACCGCGCTTGGGAATTGCTATGAATCTGAGGATTGGGGTCCTGTCGAATTCTGCATAATGGCTAAGCATTTTGAGCGACAGGGAAAGTCACCATACGTTTACCACTCGGTAAGTTTCTTTAATCTCTCTATGGTCTTCATTTTGATATTATGAGCTTGAGGATTAGTTTCCATAACCATAAATATATCTAAGATTTAGATAGAAATGTTTGTAGAATCATGTTGGTTGGGTCTTGAATTTGAAACAAGTGTTGAGCTATTGTGTTTGTGAATGCAGCAATACATGGCGCACCTTCTCTCTCAAGGTCAACTCGATGGAAGTGGCTAAGTAGGCGTTGATGATTTTTTTTTCTTCAGTTCCTTTTGTAAGCTTTGTATCTAATGTTGTTATTGCAATGTCGAACTTAGCCGATTTGTCTTTTCCTCATTTTGTACGGCGATGGTATATACATGCACCATTGGCTTTTTTATGGATGATACAGAGTAGTACCAAGTAAAATAAGAGGATTTTGTGGTGTGTTATATGATCCAGTTTAAACATTGTAACAAACACATAATCTAAGACCTAACTATGATGATGTACAACGCAAAAAGCAAGTTATCTCAGCATATAGCTTCCCAGGCCTTCTTCATGCGGCACATAACGAAGGCTTTCTCAACACAAAACTTTTGATTAGCCATTAAACTCATCGAAGTTTCCCGAAACACTTTTGTGATGGGATTATTCAAATAACGAGGGGTAAAGTCAACTAAAAATGCCAAATTTCGTAGAAAACGAGATGGTGGTAATTATTCTACATTTCCTGTGGTACATGTGGGTATTCAAAATTGCATATTTTTGGGTTAGGTTGGTTATTGGATTACCATCACTAATACGTACTAAAGTTTTAGTCAATGTTTAATACTAGGTTATTGGAGTATTAAACATCGACTAGTACTATAGTTTACAATCGGTAATGACCCTTAATTCAAGCAAGAGGTGAGTATTATTTTTTGTTCCTTTTAAAAACGTTTACCCAATGCAACTAAAGATATAACCAAATCCAAGTCGTTTTATACTACATAAATCCAGTGTATATATTTCACATTATATAAGAACACATAAGAAAGAAGAACAAAAGAAAACAGAGCAACAAACAATGTCAATCTTTCTCTGTTTCCTCTGTCTTTTGCCTATTTTCTTGATTTCCCTATTAATCTTCTCAAAAAAGCTCAAACCCTCAATAGGGAACCTTCCTCCAGGCCCCAAGACGCTTCCAATCATCGGAAACTTACATAACCTCCAAGGATTGCCTCACACATGTTTCCGCAACCTCTCTCAAACATTCGGACCGGTGATTTTTCTCCGTTTAGGATACGTCCCCTTGGTCGTGATCTCATCCAAAGAAGCAGCAGAGGAAGCTCTCAAGACACAAGATCTTGAATGCTGCAGCCGACCAGAGACGGTCGCGACCAGAATGATCTCTTACAACTTCAAAGACGTCGGGTTCGCTCCTTACGGTGAGGAATGGAAAGCGTTAAGGAAGCTCGTAGTTGTTGAGCTCCTGAATATAAAAAAGTTTCAGTCTTTCAGATACATAAGAGAAGAAGAGAATAACTTGTTGGTCAAGAAACTAACCGAATCGGCTCTTACTCAATCTCCGGTGAATCTTAAGAAGACCCTCTTCACGCTCGTCGCGAGCATCGTCTGTAGGCTAGCGTTCGGGATCAATATCCACAACTGCGAGTTCGTAGACGAGCACAACGTTGCTGATCTTGTTCACAAGTTTGAGCTGCTCGTCGATAGCATTGCCTTCTCTGACTTCTTCCCTAAAGTGGGTTGGCTTATCGACCGCATCTCCGGCCAGAACAAGACACTGAACAATGTTTTCTCGGAGCTAGACACTTTCTTCCAGAACATTCTCGATGATCATCTTAAACCTGGAAGGATAGTATCAGAGAGCCCTGATATCGTTGATGTGATGGTTGACGTGATGAAGAAGCAAGAGAAAGATGGAGACTCTTTCAAGCTCACCACAGATCATTTCAAAGGAATCATCTCGGTAACAATTTTCTTCTTGACCGCAATACCTTCTCAAACACGTTTCCTGATGCTAACTAACTGTGTTATATATCAGGACATATTTCTTGCAGGAGTGAACACAAGCGTCATCACATTGATATGGGCGATGACAGAGCTGATTAGAAACCCTAGAGTGATGAAGAAAGTGCAAGAAGAGATTAGGACAACACTTGGGGACAAGAAGGAGAGGATCACAGAATATGATCTAATTCAGCTTCACTACTTCAAGCTCGTGGTGAAGGAGACATTTAGGTTACACCCAGCAGCTCCACTTTTGCTGCCAAGAGAGACATTGTCTCAAGTCAAGATCCAAGGCTACGATATTCCAGCAAAAACACAGATGATGATCAACATTTACTCGATCGCACGCGATCCGAAACTATGGAAAAACCCGGATGAGTTTAATCCTGACAGGTTTCTAGACAGTTGCATAGATTACAGAGGACTGAATTTTGAGCTTTTGCCGTTTGGTTCTGGCCGGAGAACCTGTCCAGGGATGACAATGGGGATCGCCACCGTGGAGTTGGGACTGTTGAATTTGCTCTACTTCTTCGATTGGGGTTTGCCTCAAGGGAAGGCTGTGAAAGACATCGACTTGGAAGAAACTGGATCGATCATTATCAGCAAGAAAGAAACTCTTGAACTTGTTCCACTTCTTCATTACTGAAATGAAGAAAGACAATCTCAGCTTATTATTAGTTTTGCTTTTGCAAATATTTGTATTATACTAAAGATCATATATCTGAAGAGTGATTTACACTATGGGTGACTTTTATGAGTTTCATAACAGAAATAGGCACTTATTGACAGAGGTGGACTTTCTTATAGCTAAGAATTCCAATATGGCACAATTGCCCTTAATAAGTCTGCGGTAAAAAAATAAAGAAAAGTCATAATTTTTTTGTGGAGTTGTCGGCGGAGGAAAACTTGTCCCTGAGATAGAGACGGGGAAGCTTGTCCCTGAGGTAATAAAGCCTTGCTCTTCTCACTTTTCTGTGAATACTTTAATCTCTTTGATGTTATACCAAAACGATTTCAACACCAATGCCAACAATGATTCTCCGAATACGAATGGTAGTGTGTATGCCAGCAATGATTCTTAGAAAAAAAAAATTTGCCGACTGTGTACTCGTAATTCACGGCGGACTGAGATCTGGGCGGAGTTATTAGCTTTGATTTTATTGGATGGATGTTTTTCAACTCGACAGATGTGCTGCGTGTACGCTTTTTGTGTTGGACAGTTATATTGTTTGTACGGTTTGGAAGTACGTTTTTTGTGTCGCAGCGTGTACGCTTTTTGATCTTTAATATTTTATATTTTCATCTACAAATTGATCTCGCACTAATTTAGTTGCTAAATGAGTTTTGCTTTGTGCGTGTTAGATAACAAGTGTATCTATTTGTAGGTTAATATGCCGACGTTTTTTTTTCATGAACATTGGTCCACAAAAAATGTATCCATAACTTATTTAGTTTAAAAGTGTGTTCATAATCAGATATCGCAATCACTAATTCAAATCTAAATGTATACATGTCTCGGGTGGTGATTCGTAAAAAGGTTATTTATTTTGTCCATGAACATTTTGTCCAATAAAATGTATCCATAAATTTGTTTGTCCACTATCATGTTTTCATCAATTAGTATTACAAAAGCATATAATAGCATCGTGGACGATTTTTGTGTGGATAGATTTTCATGGACGGATGTGGTATCAAACTAAAAGTATCTATATTATCTATTATGGACGATATTTCGTGGATCTGAATATCTGACGTTGCAGCCAGATCAATGTTGTATTCACTTGAAAAGCATTTTTTCCCCGGAACCAATACAAAATGTTCTCACAGACAATTGATCGAACACTTACCATGCATTTTTTAGTAAAAAAACATCCATATCTAAACTATCCAAAAATTACCAGCAAACATTATATCCACATAAAAACATACATGGCTAAATTATAAGTGTTTAGTTAGAATCAAGAACAAAATACAAAATGGAGCAGAATCGGAAATAGGATCACATTTAAAAAAAAATCAGAAAGAACAACAAAATCGGGGGAGTTGGACGAGATGTGAGATGGTGGATCAAAACTCTTTTTCTGGTTTTGGAATATATGTTTTATCAACTGTAAGGAAAACAATTGGTAGCAAATTCTGATTTGAATTCATCGTTTTCATCTGTTTCTGCATAATGGTAGTAGATTATGTAAATCTGACTTGAAACAGAGAACTAGAGAAAAAGCAATCCCATAACTTATCTAAAAGCAAATTGGAGTAACGAAGAAAGAGATTTCTTATCTAAAAGGATGAGGCTAACTTCAAAGAGAAAACTCGACATAACCAAAAACTAAAGACAACCTATAACTTTGATTGCAGAGACGATGATGGCTCCGGTGAAAATAAGGAAATAGAAACATATTTTTTCTACACTGAGCAGATGTATTTCTCTATAGAACTTGACGGAATCGGAAGGTGAGACTCGCCGGACTCGGAGAGGCGGCCGTGGAAGGGCCGTGGTTTCAATGGAGTGAAGAGTGAATGTAAATAAAGAAGAGGTAAAAAGTTAAAAGGAATATTTGGTGAAAGTGCCGATGAAAAAACGAGGATAACATAGTCATTTCAATTTATGAAAGTGCACCACTTTCATAAAGTCACTCAAAGTGTAAAATGAAACTCAAAAAGTGCACCTGGTTGTAATTTTCTCTATATCTGAATAACACAAATTAAAATTTCATAATATGTTCATGTAGTGCCTTAAGGCTATTGCGTAGCTCTGTTGGCAGCGGTCGATTTTGAGCCTAGTGTTCAGTCCCGTGAATGTTAGTAGCATTGCCACCACGAATCGGTATGTTATTACATTGCTAAGAATCAGACTATGGAGATAGCAATGCAGAGGAAGAAGTTGAATAAAAAGAGGCAAAGACCTGTACAAGTGCACCGTATAATCTCATTGTAGAATCTAGGCGTTGATATGCGTCTGAGTCCTAAGCTGATTGAATTTATTCCAGGGAAATTATATAAAGAAAAATAAGGGTTTTAACAATTTTTGTTCAAGTAAAATATAAAAGAAGATTAGTTACCTATGATCGAGTTAAGAATATGCTTGTGGGAACTGTGTGCATCAATGGTAGATGATATTCAGTGACAGTAGGAAGAGTTCTAAGTTTTAACTAGAGGAACCAATAAAAAATTCCACCGTAAAAATATTGAAATCAAAAGTGGATTTTGTACCTGTGAGGTGACATAAACAATTACGTATGTTGCTGCCTGCAAAAGGGTCTTTAACACGGAGACAATCTGAAAGAATCGGCAAACATTCAGCACTAGAAAACAGCAACAAGAAAAACTCATGAACTCATTAGAAGAAAACTAAAACACAGCACATTAACTAATTTTATAAGAGCATTTATTCCTGAAACTAGAATGCCAATAACAAAAGTTTACTACACTTTTCGCTGATATTGGAGATCAAGTTTCCGTTCAACTTCTTTTCTAGTGTTTATTGAATAAACATGTTACATTGATTGAATCAACATGTAACACTGGTTCTAGCATTTTACATTGGTTCTACCATTTTGCACGTGGTTGGTACTTGCTAATAACATTGTTTATTCATGTTTATGCAATGAGGTTAGGGTCCTGAGGTTAGCAAGCACAGGTTGATTCAGAAAAACAAACCAAAAATAATGTTACTAGCAAGTGGCAACCACGTACCATTGGTTCTAACTTTACAAACAAAACGAAAAGTATATATTTTCAGACAAATAATACAAAGTGGATAATTTATGTAAAGCCACGAGCTAGAGCTAGTAGCAATAATGGAACACGTCCCTACTGTCTTCTTCTTGCTCTCCACACTCCTCATCGCCGTCTCCGTCGAGTCTCTTCCGCCACCGCTGTTTCCCGATGAAGCTCTCCCCACCAAATCCGGCTACCTTCCTCTCAAACCCGCCCCTGGCTCCTCCATGTTCTATGCCTTCTACGAAGCCCAAAAGCCAACCTCTCCTCTCCCCGACACTCCCCTCGTCGTCTGGCTCCAAGGTGGGCCAGGCTGCTCTTCCATGATTGGCAACTTCTACGAACTCGGCCCTTGGCGCGTGATGTCACGCGCAACCGAGCTTGAGCGCAACCCCGGCGCTTGGAACCGCCTCTTCGGGTTACTCTTCTTGGACAACCCCATCGGAGTCGGATTCAGCATCGCCGCCTCAGAAGAACACATACCAACAAACCAGAGACAAGTCGCGGAACACCTCTATCTTGCGCTCGTCGAGTTCCTCGACCAGAACCCAGGTTTCGAAAACCGGCCTGTCTACTTCACCGGCGAGAGCTACGCCGGAAAGTACGTCCCGGCCATCGGATACTACATCCTCAAAGAGAAACCTAACGGGAAGGTGAAACTAAAAGGCCTAGCCATTGGAAACGGGCTGACCGATCCGGTGGCACAGATCAAGACCTATGCGGTCAACCTCTATTACTCGGGTCTGGTCAACGCAAAACAGAAAAACCAACTGGAGAAAGCGCAGGAGATCTCCGTAGCTCTAGCTAAGTCCCGGAAATGGCGCGAAGCAGCAGACGCGAGATACGAGCTGTTGGCTCTTATAGGCAACATGACGGGACTCGCGACGCTCTTCAACACGGCCCGGTCGGAACCATACAGGACGGATCTCGTGGTGGATCTTATGAACAAGAGAGAGGCGAAACGTGTTTTGGGAGTGAGCGAAACGGCGCGTTTTGAGGAATGCAGCGATGACGTGGATGACTTGTTCCGCGAAGACGTTATGAAGAGCGCCAAGTTCATGGTGGAGTATGCGGTGGAGAGGACTAACGTGTTGCTGTACCAAGGTATGTTGGATCTCCAGGACGGCGTCGTTTCGACGGAGGAGTGGATGAGGACTATGAAGTGGTCGGGGCTGGAGATGTTTTTGTCGGCGGAGAGGCGGGTGTGGAAGGACAGCGAAGGCGTGGTCGCTGGGTATGTTCAGAGATCGGGGAAGTTGTCACACGTGGCGGTTTCAGGAGCTGGGCATTTTGTTCCGTCTGATAAAGCTGTGAATTCGAGGGATATGATTGAAGATTGGGTTTTGGGAAGAGGTTTGTTCGGTGGTGAAGTTGTTAAGCAGACAATTTCTTCAGGCTTTACCGAATCTTCGTGAGTTCAAAGATGAAGACTTGGATTCGGTTTAAAATAAGATTCTCAATTGGACTAGTTGTGTTGTTTCTGAATAAAATTCCGATTTAAATTGTCCTTATGATTTTGATTGTTCGCAAGGTGACAATTATGTTCTCAAATTCATTTTTTAGATCCGAATTGGTAATTTTGTTCATGTGTTTTTCATGAAATATACCCAAAATAAGGCACTGACAAACTTAAAAGGTTAATTGGATTTGAGATGAATTTTTCTCATCAAATACAAGAAAAAAAAAAAGTTGGAAAAACATGTAATGGCGATTGGAGGCGGGAATGTGATTGAGATTCGAGAGTGATGAGTATAAAATACCCAAACACAATGAAAGCACAAACCCGTACTATGAAGCCATTATCGTTTTATGGAAGAAGAGGAAGAGCACCCCGTAGAAAACCTACGAGTATTTCAGAGCTATTGAAACAAATCTCTCCCCTGTTCATGCCTCTTGTCCCAATTTAATTTTTTGAGAAAAACATTCGAGCAAAACCGTATTGAAAAAAAAAACAAATTGATTCTGGAAAAACAACTCTTGAAATTGAAGAAATAACGTCGATAGCGAAAAATGTAACCAAACTAATCGGAACTCTAAAGACGGCGATAGTTTCAGAATGTGAAACTCGCAGTATTTATAGTGCGAGCGCGTTACGTTTAGGGCTGATAGTCAATTTAAGTTGGGCCTATTTATAATTGAATTTAAAGTTTTGTTAACTAGGAAGCTCAATGGGCCTTAGTGTAACATCCGAGTCCATCGTTGTTTGATTGACCGTTGACCTACACGCTTGTCCACTCTCCACTATTTCTTAAATCAATGCTTGGATGCTTGCCATAATAAAGTACCAAATAATAAACCCATGATTAGTTTATTCTTAATCATACGGCCAAAGAAGAAGGTCAATGGATTGGTTGATAATTATGAAGAGACTGCAATGTAATTGACGATATTTTAAAAATAGATAACTCCGATCAAGTTTTCATAGGAGCTTCAGATATAATTTGTACATAGACACATAGTTAATCTTGAATGGTCCGTGTCGACAAGTTTGTAAAAGACGTGTTAGCTTAAATTTAGAAGAAATAAAGGTGAAACTGCATGGAAGGAACGTGAGGACAAATGTGGTCCCATCAAACGCTACGAGAAGGCAACGCGAACGCGCTAATCATTTTTAGTATCTTTTAAAGCCAAAGCAACCTTAGCCGTTTTGTTTTATTAAAAAAAAAATAAAAAATCCAACAAACTCCCTTATAAATAAGCATATCCATCCATCAACTTTGTCTCCTGAGCAACAGAAAAATGGAAGCCACACTGATCTCAACGTCTCCACTCAGGTTCCATCCATTGATGATAAAGCCGCAAAGGATCGTCACCGGAGCCAAGAGAAGAAGACAAACCACCGTGTGTGACTACTACTACAGCGGAGGAAGAGTGGTGGATGAAAACATGGTGGTCCTTAGAAAACGGATTCACGAGATGAAGATGGTTGAGCGCAACTATGAACCTCCTTCCCACTGGATGCATTGGGAAAAACGTTTCTATTGCAACTACGACGCTACTATATGCGACGCTCTCTCTATTGTACAAACTTTTCTCATGAACTCTCGTCCTAGCGTTGCGTTTGGAACGCTGCTTCTTCTCCTCGTGAGTGTTCCCGTATCCACCGCTGTCTTTGCGTTTCACATCCTCGACATTGCTCTTTGGCTTCTTGATGCCATTCAAGTATAGTATGATCATCTATATAAATATATCTCATATTGCCAATGCCCCCTTTGTCGGATGACTAATTATTTGTTTCAATATCAGTTAAACAAGAGGTTCTAAAAGATTAAAATCCTTCTTCGATTTAGTTTTGGAAAACAGAGTAGACAATTACACTCAACTCTCCAGGCAGAACAAATGAATCCTTATTCGATTTAGTTTTGCATTGTGTTTGATGTTACAATGCAATTACAAATTGTTATACCTGATTTTGTTATCATCTATTAGTTGAGACATTGTTGCTTCAACCGCTTATTTAAAGAAAAAAAAAACATTACATGCAATTTCAAATTATATTTTGTAGTTAAGTGAAACAGGACAAGAAAATGGTCGCAAAACAATAATGAAAAGCGGGAGATTCAATAGGATTCAAAAAAAGGAGCTACTCTGTTTTGACATAGAGACAAAGAAGAATCTATGCAATCTGTAAGAGGAGAAGAGAGAGAAAAGAGACCCGAAGCAAGCGACTTTGGCATCTCAAACCTCAACGTCTTTGTATCTGTTCTCTGTAAGTTACAACAATATGAATTTCGTCTTGTCATTATTTTGTACCCAGTTGTATAACATTAATCCTCCACGAGGACAAATCTAAGTGATCCCACAAATCTAAAGTTCATGCTTTTCATTATGTTCTCAAGTTGTATTCTTTGATGCCAAATTGGATAAGCCCTTTTGTTGAAGTGGTGGATAAACAAGCTTTGTTACTACTTAACTAGCAAGCACGTTACATTGGTTTAAATGCAGCACCGTTGATGTTTGAGCCAAAAATATAAAAATAATTTTCATTCTTTTTTTTTGGGGTCAACTGTCTCTAATGTTTATTCATGTTTATGCAATCAAGGTTAGCAAGCACTTGTTGATTCAACTTAAAAACCCAAAATAAAGTTACTAGCAAGCTAGTAGCAATAATGGAACAAGTCCCTACAGTTTTCTTCTTGCTCTCCACTCTCCTCATCACCGTCTCCGTCGAGTCTCTTCCGCCACCGCTGTTTCCCGATGAAGCTCTCCCCACCAAATCCGGCTACCTTCCTATTAAACCCGCCCCTGGCTCCTCCATGTTCTATGCCTTCTACGAAGCTCAGAAGCCAACCTCTCCTCTTCCCGACACACCGCTCCTCGTTTGGCTCCAAGGTGGGCCAGGCTGCTCTTCCATGATTGGCAACTTCTTTGAACTCGGCCCTTGGCGCGTGACATCACGCGCAACCGCAACCGAACTTGAGCGCAACCCCGGCGCTTGGAACCGCCTCTTCGGGTTACTCTTCTTGGACAACCCCATCGGAGTCGGATTCAGCATCGCCGCCTCTGACGAAGACATACCAAGAAATCAGAGACAAGTCGCACAACACTTGTACCTTGCGCTCCTCGAGTTCCTCGACCAGAACCCAGGTTTCGAAAACCGCCCGGTCTACTTAACCGGCGAGAGCTACGCCGGGAAGTACGTTCCGGCCATTGGATACTACATCCTCAGAGAGAAACCCAATGGGAAGGTGAAGCTAAAGGGCCTAGCCATCGGAAACGGGCTGACCGACCCGGTGACCCAGATCCAAACCCACTCAGTCAACCTCTACTACTCGGGTCTGGTCAACGCCAAACAGAAAAACGAACTAGACAAGGCGCAGGAGAGAACCGTAGCTCTCGTGAAGTCCCAGAAATGGCGCGAAGCAGCGCACGCGCGATACGATCTGTTGGCTCTTATGGGTAACATGACGGGACTCGCGGCGCTCTACAACACGGCCCGGTCGATTCCTTACAGAAGGGATCTCGTGGTGGGTCTTCTGAACAAGAGAGAAGCTAAACGTGTTTTGGGAGTGAGCGAAACGGCGCGTTTTGAGGAGTGCAGCGATCACGTGGAGGAGTTGTTACGTGAAGACATCATGAAGAGTACCAAGTTCATGGTGGATTATGCGGTTGAGAGGACCAGTGTGTTGTTGTACCAAGGTATGTTGGATCTCCAAGAAGGCGTCGTTTCGACAGAGGGATGGATGAAGACTATGAAATGGTCGGGTTTGGAGATGTTTTTGTCGGCGGAGAGGCGCGTGTGGAAGGACAGCGAAGGTGTTGTCGCTGGGTATGTTCAGAGATGGGGGAATTTGTCACACGTGGCGGTTTCAGGAGCTGGACATTTGGTTCCGACAGACAAAGCTGTGAATTCGAGGGATATGATCGAAGCTTGGGTTTTGGGAAGAGGCTTGTTCGGTGGTGGTGAAGATGTTAAGGAGACGGCTTCTTCAGGCTTTACCAAATCTTCTTGAGTTAGACGAACTAGATTCAGCTTAAAATAATGTTCTCAGTTGTACTAGTTGTGTTGTGTCTGAATAAAATTCCGATTTCGGTTCTACATTTGATTTTGATGTACAATTACCTTCTCAAATTCATTTTAGATACGAGTTGGTCAATTTTGCTCCTGGTTTTATCATATTTCTGAAACATACCCAAAGTATGGCGGGAGATTCAATAAGATTCAAAAAGAGGAGCTACTCTGTTTTGACATATAGAGAAGAGTGTCTTGTATATAGCAAAATTGAAGAGAAGAATCTATACAATCTGTAAAGAGGAGAAGAGAGGAAAAGAGACCTGAAGCAGAGGACTTTGGCATCTCAAACCTCAACGTCTTTGTATCTGCTCTCTGTAAGTTACAAAATTTAAAAAACAAAGCTCATTTTCATCTCTCCTTTATCCTTTCGTTGTCACTGTTACTGAAAGTGTTCATAACCATATAGTTACTATTATATCTCTTTAGATAGTGCGGATTGTGGTAATACTTCCGGTTCTTCTGCTGCGTCCTCCAGTAACACGCGAGCGCTCCAAACGCGCAGCTCGCTAGCGCAATAGCCAATGCAGCTCCAACCGGCACAACCAGAGCATTGCTACGCACTGCCGTTTCCTCTGCAGCTGCAACCACCTCTTCCTTGCTCACACTGACACCACTCTTCTTGTAAGAGGACACCAGTTTCTCTCCGTAGTACTTCTTCAAGAACTTGTAGACTTCGTCGTGATCCCAGTCGATGGTTTTCTCTGTGCTCGAAAGGTAACACGACGGACAAAGCTGCTTCGGTGGCCATATCATCTTAGGGAACTTGGGGTCTCCTGTTCCTAGAGAAGCCTCGTCTTTCTTGAGTCTTTCGTTGACCTTGTTGTGTGTGCTCCATAGCCACAGGACGATGTCTCGTGCCTTTTTGAATGGAGTTTTGACGCTGTCAGTGAAACGAATAAAGCTGTTAGATGCGAGAAAGGATGTGATAACCGAGAGCTTGTTAGCCAACTTTACCTTAAGCACATGTCATGAAAATGCCGGCGGCAGTCATCACACATGAAGAAGTTGTTGATGAAATCACAAATGGTCGTGAATGCAAACTGACTTTCTCCATCCTCAATCCTCACAGAGAGTGAATGCATCAACACCCATAATCCGCAGCTGCAGTCAAATCATTTTGAAAGAGTTAAAACACTCGAGCTTATGCTTGAACCGAAAGATCCCATGACTAAAGGACCTGATTATGCAAAAGACTACCTGAAGCCCCTAGTTTCATTCTTGCTGCCACGGCAAAACATCTGCCAAATATGATTATGTGTGAAAAAATGTCAGAATTAGATACTCTATGGTAAAAAAGTAAGTGGTTGGTTGAGCGGACTCACGTAATATCCACGAGGAACATCCTTTCCACAGATATGATAGTTCCGTAGAGAATCTTTCGCTCCAGATTCTTGATCATAAGAGCATTGGCCCGACGGGCATAACTCATCAAAATTCATAAGAATATCAGCACTTCCCTTACGGCACCTATAGAAAAGTTTCAACAGACGATTAGGCATGAGAGAAAAGAGTGAGCAGCCAAAACGTAAATAGGAATATGAAGATGAGATTCTACCTTTTTGAGGGATGATGTGCCACTAAAAGCTGCAGAAATCTAATAAAGGAAGTGCTGGTTTCAGCTGACTTGATTGCCTGTGGCCAATGAATTGAACACTACTCGTTTAACAAGGCTGAAAAGGTTTATTAGTTACATACAAATCATAAGAAATTCTCTCTACCTTAAGTGCCAAAATATGGTCAAACGCTTCTTCAGTTGCCTCCTCAATGTCATATATGGCCTGAGAAATCTGTGATAAAACAACAACCATCTCTACTTAGTTTTCTTTTGTGGAACTAAACCAAAATGCTACCATAATAGCAAAGTGGAGGCAGAACACATAACGAGAGACCTGTTCGTGGTCAGATATATTTGGCAGGAGATGCTTATTTCCAAATTTCTGATCATCCAAGCCGTAAGAGCTAATCCACATTGACAAGAAAACAGATTTGAGTATATTCACAGGGGTATTCATATTTCAGCCAACATAGATTGCTGATGCTAGAGATGAAATCAGAGCACATATACCTGCCTATCTGCTTGTTGATCCAGCTCAGCAAAAGATCAGCAGTGCGCCATTCCTCGACTACGCTGATCTCACTCTTCTCTTGTTTAGGATCCCAGCTGCCACCAACGAACTTCCTGGGAGGTCCCCAAAAGAGCATCGGATAATGATTGATGGAGAACTTGTCACAGAGCTTCACATTCATCTGCGCTGCCAGAAAAGTCATAAGGAACAATAAGATTTTAGTTTTCCAGCCCCAATCTCTAAGTCACACTATCCACATGAAGTAACAGAAACAGAGAAAAGAAGTTGCTTGGTACACGTAATCTCTATATAAATCAGGGGGAGATGTTGAAAGTAAGTACCTTTGCTGCACAATCAACTCTGGTCATCAAAACGAGGCCAGGATGTATTGCGTCTGCTCCATTGAAAAGCCTTGCCACTTTTTCATAATGCGGCTGCAGAGTCACCACCAGTTTCAAGCATTGATTACAAACAGTATTTTGACAAACAAAGGCATTGAATTGCACTGTTTACCTTGTAGTTTCTGCATGCAGGACACCTTGAATCATCAATTTTAGCCAGACGAAATTATGATCAATGTCAGTACCAGCACAGAGTGTGTTGTGAATAATACAAACCAAAACTTAACATTCAATTTCAAAATTCTGGATAAATCCCAGGGAATTGGAAAACGTAAAGCAATGTTCGAATTCCAGTCGAGATCCAGAACTAGACAAACCAAAAATGGAATTTTTAGAATTCTTAGAGTGAGAGAGAATAAGGAAACTGACCAGTGAGCGAAGAACTCGAGAATGGCATATTTGGCGGGGGTATTTTGGAAAACTGAATCAAAGTTGGTAGAGTTCAATTCGACCGCGTAATCTTTCTGATCGGAGATGTCATTGCCGATATCCCGGAGAATCGAGCGCGATCCCGGTGAAAACGACGCCGCAGCTTCGAGGCTCACCAAACCCGCGAGCAAAAACAGGTGTATCAAAGACATCAAATCGAACAGATCATAAAATCTCGTAGCTTGGTCGGGGTTTTGCAGTTTAATCTTAGTTTCTCCTTGAGAGTGTTGGGATTATACGAGATACATGGAAGATCTAGACAAACATAAAAAGGAGCTTCCTTCTTCCTCCGGTTGAGAGAGAAACTGACGTCGTATATTTGTTTGACCGGCGTCGATAATAGCTCTCCGACTACTTTCATAATGGGCTTCACTAGGTTCGTTATAGGCCCATTAACAATATTCCATCTTTTGCATTTCAATTCGAATGTTATACGTTTCTGTTTCCTAAATTGTTTTTCGTTGTCGTTGACCCAAAGGAAAGAAAGAATGGGAAGTAGATAATGCAAAATTAAAAACTTGCAATTCTCTCTCAGATAGTCAAACAAACGTTAGCAAATTTCTTTCTGAATGAATGGAACCGTTTATGATATGATTTCGAATAGAAAACTTGTAGAGTGTACATTGTTACCGTTGTTGTTTTATAAATTTCAAATAAATAATGGTCCGTATACAAGTTAAACATTGTTTATAACGACAAAAGTGATGTGAAGAAACGCCGGCGATTGACGTAGCGACGAATGTTGTGTACGCGCCGCCGAGGGAGAAGACAGAAGGTGAGCAAGATTGCTGAGTCAGCATGATCTTAGAAAATCGACAAAGTGACTCCAACCACAAGTCAACACCATCTGTCTCAGTCACAAGGACACACGACACACCTCACACATTAATATACCTATCTATAATATTGCCACTTCTCATGCATTATCATTTGTTTTTAGTTCCCTTTTTTTTCGTACGAGAAAAAAATGACACTACAATGTATCGATCATGTGCACATCCTCCTCTACCTCTAATAACAATGTCAATATCATCACTTACAAAAATAAAACAAACTTATAAGTTATACTGCAGTCTGCATTAACGGGGTCCACGTGCATAAATTCATTTTTCTGATATAATATTGCATTACATACCTGACTTGTGTGAGTATTATAATTGAGAACCATTTTAGTATACTGTTCTCAACTCCTGTCTCAATCTACAAAGTATATACGGTTAATATATGCATTACATAAGAAAAATGAAAAAAAGACAAAGTTTATACTTTGGAAATATATTTTTCTTCTAATAAGCTCCAACTCGAAAAGGATAAATATTGACAGCCATTCTTTTATTTTTGTCAAGTCTACCAAAAGAGCATTTTAAAAGTCCAATTTAAATATGCCAATATCCTTTTTTTTCCTCCTGTCAGCATCTAGTAACCACCATTAGCAATAGAGAGCTTCAGCTCATTTGTTGAATACCCCTTGTAGCATGTGAATTTCCCACATCTTTCTTTTTGTTATAAAATCATAACATAACCCAAATAATTCCAACTTAAAACATCGTAAATTTCATTTAGCTTCAGTTAAATATTAAACCTTAAGTTTAATTTTTTTAGAGATATTAATCTAATGTTTCCTAACATAAAAAAAAAAAAGGAAAATTTTCTCACAAACGTAGAAGTGTTTCTAAAACCAAAAAAAAAAATAAAAAATTAGAGGTGTATTATCTAAAGACGAAGAAGAGCGGGGCAAGAAGTAAACTAATCATGGAGCATGAGGGTCGAATTATGCAAAATCAAAACAACTGGAGGTGCTTTTATTCAAAGAATTTTATTTCCACTCTCTCTCTCTCTCTCTCTGTGTATGAATCAAAGTATTATTTCTCTTCATTTGCTTCAATCGTTTTAAAACTCCTGAATTTTTCAATTAACCGTTCCTGTTTCTCTAATCTCTCCTCCTCCTTACCTTCATTTTGGTTCGCTCGCTAAGAATCTTCGCTTGCTTAGTGGTAACTTCGATTTTGGCTTCCTCAACCAAGTCCTCTCTCCCTTCGCTCGATTTCCATCTTCTCAGAATCTCCGATTGGACTTTTCTCTCTAAGCTGCTTCGTAATCCCGTCGAACAAATCTCTCGTTTTGAATACGCGTATAGAATCTTTTCCGGCGAATATTCGAGTACGACTAGTGAGAGGAGTGTCGCTGTTCAATCGATCGACGAAATCGGAAGCGGTTGTCGTCGTTTTATTAAGTTTCGCTCTGCGGTGAGTGAGTGAAGAAAAAAGATGCTAGGAGCTGGATTTCAGCTGAGTAAGCTGCAGAGAGCTCAAAACGACGTCAGATCGATTCACACCAAGGAACGCGAGAACGGGTCTGCGTTGAACAAACTCACTGCTTCCGCCGCTTCGTCGTCGTCAAGTAATGTGGAACGGTTTCTGGAGTCGGTCACACCATCTGTGCCGTCCCACTATTTATCCAAGGTTTGATTTCAGAACATGTCAAAGTCAAAAACTTTCTTTTGGCCTTTCATTTAATTTGAGTGAAAGTTTTGTGCAGACGACAGTAAGAGAAAGGAGAGGAGGGAGTAGTGATAGTGAGCTGCAGCAGCCTTGTTACTTTGTTCTTGGAGATGTTTGGGAATCGTTTGCAGAGTGGAGTGCCTACGGCACTGGAGTTCCTCTCTCTTTGAATAGCAACAACAACAACAAAGATCGAGTCTTTCAATACTACGTGCCTTCCCTCTCCGCCATTCAAATCTATGCTGATCCTGATTCGCTGAGCTCATCTCTTCAAGCAAGGTAACAAAAACAGTTCCTTTCATTAAAGTTTCAAGCTTTACAAGTTCAAGTCTTGTCTTTTTTATAAGAAACTTTGGTGTATATTGGGATTCTATCAATGTGTTGTTAACTGTAGGCGTCTAGGGGAAGAGAGTGAAAGTGATTTCCAGGATTCAAGCAGTGAAGGAAGTAGCAGTGAATCCGAAAGAGGACTCTGTTATCCAAAGGATCAAAATTCTGCTAGAATGGAGCAACTCTCATTGAGAAAGGAGCAGCAGGAGGACTCGTCTAGTGATGATGGCGAGTCTCTGACATCTTCTCAAGGTCGTTTGATATTTGAGTATCTTGAACGTGATCTTCCTTACATCCGTGAACCATTTGCCGACAAGGTTTGTCTATTTTTTAACTCTGAATATCAAGTTGTCAAGGCATATGCAAAACGTTACTAGAATCCAAAAAGGATTCAGAAATTAGGGTAAACGTGTTTATACAAAAATATATAACATCTCGTGGTTTGAAATAAATTCTGTATGAGGCGACACGGAAGTTAGATGCATTTATTGATTGTCTTGAGCTTCTTTTGTGATATTTTTCTGTAATCAGATAAGTTTGAGTTTCAGAAGCAAACAGTTGAAGTAACATCAATCATTTTTATCTTATAAAAGTAATGCTATTAGTCAAACCCAACAACTTTTCCAATCTGTAGTTGTTCCATAGCATCCTTTTAGGACTTATCAACTTACTGTGGAATGTTGAAATACTGGTCTAGCAACTTCTCCATTTCTCATATAAACCACTTTATGTTATGATCTAGTAAAATGCAATCCTAATAGCTGTCTTATTCAATTGTTACCGATTGCAGATGTCTGACCTTGCCTCTAGATTTCCGGAGCTCAAGACACTGAGAAGCTGTGATTTACTACCTTCAAGCTGGTTTTCTGTGGCATGGTATTGTTTTTCTGTACCATGTGCAGTTGTGCACGTTGCTTTTCTTCCACAGTGCCCTCTCGTCACTCTTAAAATCCAATACTATACTTTTATAGGTACCCAATCTACAAAATACCCACAGGACCAACGGTCAAGGATCTGGATGCTTGTTTCTTGACATATCATTCCCTTCACACACCCTTTCAAGGTATGACTGTTGTTCAGCATTGTTAATACTAAAGAAACACTATTTCAAACAATTTTAGGTAAATCAGCCAGCAACTGTCTGAATATTGCCTGGCTATCTAATTCTTGGGTGCAGGAGTTACTACACAATCTATGTGTGAGGTGCAGCCAAGGGAGAGTGTTGAGAAGATGTCACTGCCTGTCTTTGGCCTTGCCTCATACAAGCTGAGAGGTTCTGTATGGACAAGCATCAAAGGCTCAGGACACCACCAGCTCGTGAAGTCCCTCTTCCAAGCCGCAGACAGTTGGTTGCGGTTGCATCAAGTCAACCATCCTGATTTCATCTTCTTCAGCCGCCAGTGATAATGATGATTAATACGATGATGACGAACAAAACATGTAGGAAGAAGTCACTCTTTTATAATTCACTGTCCTGAAGAACCCAAACCCATTATATATATACATACATACATACATATATAGGGAGCTTCTGTATGTTGTTGGGTTTGATGTGAAAATGTACACAGTAACACAATATGCTTTATTTGATGTGTTTTTTTGCAATAAAAAAGCTAATAGTTGAGGAAAGAGAAGGATTCTATGGTCTTCTCTGCAGATTCTTGTTGCTTCCTGTTGATGGCATCGGAGCAGAGACGAGCCATCATACGGTGGAAGGAAAGCAGATCGGAGAGACGCTCCGATGACAACTTGTCCATCGCTCTCTCTTGCTCTTCTTTCCTCTTCATCCTTTTCAAATACACAGACGAGTTCCTCACCGTTGCTCCCATCTGCTTCAGCCTATTCTCTTGTTGCTTGCTTAGAACCATGTTTACCTGAAAAATGCTTCAACTCGTCAGAAACAATTCCAATACTCAAATGACCAATATACAAATCTTGCATGTAAACAAACTGACCTCTAGAATCTCAGATCCAGAGAAGCTTTTGACGAGCGTCTTCTTCTTCTTCTTTTGAAACGCGGTCGCAGCTTTGACAAACGCCTGATAAGCAGAAGCACATCCCGGATAATCAAACTCGTCAGAGCCTGAGAGTCTCATCCTCTCGGGATGAAACTGGAGACCCATCAAGAACTGGCCTTCCTCCGGATCGTACCGATTCCGATCATAGAACCCTTCTATCAAACCATCAGGAGCGTACGCCATCGGCTCAAAACGTTTCGCTAGTCTCTTCACGCCCTGGTGATGATAAGAGTTCACCATGATCTCATCCATCTCATCGAACCATTCATGCAACGGCGTCTCCTCCACGACTCTAACCGCGTGCCGGTACTCATCGTAGTTGTCGTAGTCTATATGTTTCGTCGTGGTTCCGATTTCTTTGTCGATATCTTGGTAAAGAGTGCCTCCGGCGGCGACGTTGAGGATCTGAGAGCCACGGCAAATGCCTAAGAAAGGAATGTTTCTCTCGAGACAGAGTTTTGCCAGAGTCAGCTCGATGCTGTCTTTCTCTCGGTCGATGGTCGTGTCTCCTGGGTGCAACCTGTTGATCTCATCCATGTCCTCCGGCGAGAGGTCGGCGTCGTGGGCGTAGAGAGAAGGGTCGATGTCTTCTCCTTCGCAGAGGAGGACGCCGTGAATGGGCTCGAAACTATGGAGCATGGATTGGACGCCGGTGACACGTGGCACGATGACAGGGACTGCTCCGAATGAGACGACGAGATCGAGATGGTACTCTCCCACGAAATCCACGAGCTTGTTCTTGCGGAGAGTCCGGCGAGAGACGATGAGAACTCTAGGGAGAGTCTTGGACGAGAGATCATTAGCGACCACCATTTTTTTAATTAATTTGTTTGTGTTTGTATGTGTTAGTTATTCTCTTTCTTTCGAGTTTTGTGTGTTTATGTTTTAAGTTTGTTTGTTATTTATAGATTAATGGTGGAGGCGTCGAGACTCCGCGTACATGCAATGCACACATTACTCAAGCTGACGCACACTCCTCCCTTCTGTCACATCATCATTTTTATCTGTATGTTTTTTGGGTCAAAGCTTTCCTGATTAGATGCTGACGTGGACTTTTATGGATATTCCAAATTATGCCTCGTTTTTGTTAGGTTGTGTTATAAAAACGTTCCACTGGATTAAGGGGTTTGAGACACAGGGGATTAGATATGAATGGATGACTCATTGACTTGTAACAATATTAGGCAGGCATTACATATCTGGCTTTATTATTTAATACATTTTCCATAAGCATGTCTTCTGTATCCGGAAAGTGTTGAATTAATTTATGGATATCATGTTCTGAGTGTAATTTAATTGAATCAGCCTCATCTTGTTAATTAGGCTTCTGTCATTCATACGTGTAAGATAAGTAGATAACGTCATAGACTTGCACCAAATCCGTGTGAAGAAAAATGTAGCCAGAAGAGATACTCCCATTGTGTTAAGCTCTAGTCTCTTCAAACTATTCAGACACCCACTAACTATATACAGCTTAGAGACCAGATATGCACTTCAGTTTGTGTTCTCTCCATGTTGTGTTTCTAATATTCTGTCGACATCTTTACGGCTACGATACATCGACCTAGCAATTATTTACTCAAACATATAGCAATTAAACTATAACAATATTGGGGACCATCTTTACCATTGATCACATCGTATCGAATTTTCCAAGGAATCGCAAGAGAATTTACATACACAATCCATGATCATTTATATTTTGATCGACATTACTTTATTTTTTTTTGGTTTTGTTGCCAATACAAGATTCAGATATCAGAATCAGAAAGAACTTGACTTGGAAGTTAGAACAAAGAGTGAAAGAGAGAGAGGAAAGTTTTTCAACTTAAAAAGGGAAGTAGATCATCGTTTCTTCTTGTGATTCTAAGCCGCTCCACATTTTCTATGAACTCCCTGTGCCATATTACAATCTCAACACATGTAATATATTACTAGTTTACGAATTTGCTTATAAACAGTCTTAAGAGCTTACTTCCATGGAACATCCGCAGCATTCCTCCAGGTACCTTCCTCGTCCCTGTAGACTAGTGAGAACTCAGACTCTGTCTGGAACAACCGCAATCCCGACACACTTTGCATCCCTGTAGACTCGACCAAGCATACGACTATTAGGAACACTAGGACCTACTGATCTTCCTAATCAACTAAAGAAACTGGCCCTTGCATGGTATTGGGGGAAACTGAGGAGAAAAAGCTTCCCGTCAAAACCTTACCAAACATGTCCTCGAGTTGATGAGCAAGAGTTGAATAGCCTCCATGATCAAGAACACAGACCTTGCGACCTACCACAAACCCATCCATGGTGACCTTTACATAACCCCACCTCCGTCTGCTTCCTTCATTACTCCAAAAACAAACAAAAAAAGGACGTTGCTTGGTGCGAAAGTGAAGAAGATACTTTGCGCAAAACCGACAGTAGTTATATGTTAACTGTAAGTTACTGGAAATACTAATGAAGAAGCTCACTTTGGCCAGATGTGTGGTAAGTTTCATGTTGCATGGTTCTAAGGCTGAGACCTAAATCAATTACGCCGCCACGCTCCATTATCCGAGAGTAATACGGATGATACTTCAAGAAACTTGAGAAAACATCCGATGGGTCTGAGTCCATTGTTGCGTTCTCTAACAAATGTATATTCAGTACAGAACAGAAAAAAAGAAAATGGAATAAACAAGTGAGATGAGTGATGTGGATTTATAGCAAGCAGCTAAGAGCTAAGGAGTGTCCGGAAAGCTAAGAGACATAATTGCAGACAAGGAAGAGACAAAAGACAAGAACCCATTACCAATCACACAAGGGTCAGTTTGTGGTCTTTTTGTTGTTTGTCTGATGACACTAAGTGCAAGGGATGGGGAGTTCATCACAGGTTCAGATTTTGTAACCCATAACATACATTGCCTGCAGTATTTCTGACCACCAAAACAACCTGAAATCATCATTTTCATCCTAATCAGGATTGTACTACTAATCACAGCAGACCAATTCCCATCGTTGAAATGATATCAGAATGTTATCAAACTAATCAGGATTGTATTACAGTGATAGAATTTAAGTGTGGGCAGAGGAAGAGAAGAACTAAGTATGGTCTTACATGACGGTAGATATTTCATAACTTTCAAGAGAGAGCTTTGTTGTAAAATACTAGACAATTCAGTTTTGTCATTACATCATGTCTCCCACACGTTACTGAGAAGTAGGGCTGTGTGATTGGTGAATCCAAGACAGAAAATATACATATGAATCCATGTCTACACAATAGCTCTCATGGTTAAACTTAAGCCTCCAAAAGAAGGTGTACAAGGGAACACATACCCATTCTTCCAAGATAACTTTTCATATAAACGACTCGTCGCCATTACAAAGAAAAAAAGGAAATTCATCACTGTAGACATCTCATTTGATGAATTTTCTAATTTACAGGTGTATTGACTTGAAAAAATTGCCTCCTAAGCTAATGTACAGTTTACCCGGATTCTAAATGTACATGCTTATTAACAGGCGCTTCTGATACACACACTTGTTAGGTACTCACTGGACAGTAGACACCACCTTCGAGAAACTTCTACATTCATATAAGCATGCCAAGAACAGAAGAGCCCAGAAAGTTTCATTTATGCGGAATCATGCTGGCTAAGAAATTCAGTTATGCAAGGATAGACCTGCTCCACTGCCTGCATTGAGATTAACAGAGAATTGACTGAGACAGAGAACACACATAATATGGCTTTGAACAAAGTTCGAAAATTGGAAGAGACCTAGAAATGTAACATACCAGTCGTCCTCCAACCAAATCATAGTGTGCATAATGTGGTCCGTCTGGCTCTCCTAGTTCCTTATAAGTGACCAGGTTCTCGGGAAACATCTTAGCAGTTTCTGCCATATATACAAGCAATTGAAATGGTGAGAAAACAAAGTGCGTGCCTCTCATAACTCGAGAAATTTAGGAACAGCATCGAATAATTTAAATGAAATGCATATCTGGGCATGGGCAGATGAAACATGTATATATTGTGTAGCTGTTCATCTATGCACAAATTCATAGTAGATGTTAATCCAGTATACCTTCTACAGCTACAGGAGGACAGATCAAGTCCCGGTCACCTGCAAGAGCTAAGACAGGGACAGTGGTTTTGGAAAGATGATCCTTGTAGTAAAATTTACCACTTCGATCACGTAAGCCTCCCTCTCGAAAGGCTGTTGTCAGCTGAATAAGAAGTTTTGCAGGTATAGTACCTAAAGGTTCCAAAACAGAGAAGCCCTTTTACAATCACCGTAAAAGAAGCAAGAAATGGAGGATCAAGGCATCAAAAAGTAACTCAAGGACATTTAGATCAAATATCTGTTACTTACAAAAGTTATTCAAGACGAGCTTTTCCAACTGTTCAGGGTGCATCATATCCGTTGCTGATATCAAATCGTTAAGCCAAGATAAAACATATGGAGGACGTGTCCAAAGAGGATAAGCTGCAGCCAACAGAGCGCCCAAAGGAACAACTGGAACACTCAGAGCTTGTGCAGGATCGGCCTGTAGAAGAAGTTTCTAGTAAGTTTGCCACAGAAGAACTTAGCCGCGCATCAATTCTTTAAGAAAAAACTAAGTTTACGTACGAGAGGTATGAGCAATTTGAGGGCAGAATCTGAAGAAGTGTAATCAACCGATGAAGCCAAAGTTGCCACAGCTGCTAGGCAAGGTTCTCGTCCCTCAAAAGCTAAAGAAAATGGAATAGAAGGAATGAATAACAGCCTATACCTATGAGCCTCTGAGTTCATAATATTACACTATCAAGATGAATATTAACTTACCACAACGTGACAGCATTGCATAGAGAAGGATACCACCCATGGAGTGCCCAATTGCGAATAGTTTACCATCCTTAGGCTTGCTTTGCGCTCTCACATACTCAATCTATAGCAAACCAAAAGCAGAACACAAAGCTCAGTAACAAATCTGGACACAGTAGCTTGAAATATTTAGCAAGATCAATCTCAGCCTCACCGCAGCAGGGACATCCTCTTCCAGGTAGTTATCGAAATCCCAGTCATACTGAATGATCAAATCAAGCTGCTTCTGGAAATCTTCAATGGTCGAAGTGAGTCGCTCTTGCAAATCAATCAGCTGAGGAGAGACAGACTTTTGACCATCGTCGAGAAGATCCACAAGCCGCTGGGTCAATTCTCTGATCTGGTTACCAAGTCCTGAGTTTTGCCTTGACTCGATCAAACTCAAAAGCTTTGATCTTATCTCACTAAAGCGCTCAAACAGCTGAGAATCTTGTAAAAGCATTGCAATTTTGTCAAACAACTTAGCAGACATGAACACTGACTGACCTTCACTGAGAAAGCCAGAGAGTCTCTCTGACAAACGCATAAAAGTCGCCGTCAGTCTCGCCACAAGCTTTGACTCGTCCCAAGACGAGGCTTCACCGACAACTGAAACATCAGACGCCGGTGCACTGCCCACGGCATCAGTAGCACGTTCCTGATCAGCGGAAGAAGCTCCTGTAGCTGCAGCTCTAGCAGTAGATTCTATCTCATGGGACAATTTGTGAGCAGAGTCCTGAACGTCCTTGAGATCGGATACTCGTGTACTCAAACCGGCTCCACGAACCTCGAGTATCCACGTCTCGAATCCCTGAGCAGACATGTGCCTTGCAAAAGAGCACTGCAATTACATCAAACCGTGTCAAGAATCTTGAATTTTGGAGCGTTTGGTCAAAAATCTATCATTTTCTTATTGTAAGGTACTCAAGAACATAAATGAAGATCAGGAGAAATAAGAAATGTAACAGATTCACATTGAAACGAATGAGAAATGAAGGGAAACATACACCGGGAGATAAATCGTATCCGATGGCATTAGTTCCTACTCCAGAGAGGAGCAAGAGCGGGTGATTCCTCGTCGGGGCCTGAGAAGAAGAGAATTCTTTATCACAGAAAACAAAAAAAAATAAAACAGAAAATTGTAGCTGCAGAGAAATTTGTAAACCTGCGGAGAAGGGAAGTAGCGCCAGAGAGCGAGGCGCCAATCGCTGTTGGGGACGGAGACGTAATGAAGCTCGTCGGCGGTGCAAAGAGGCGGTTTCGTGGGGAGCTTGACTGAGGAAGAGAATGCTCTCGGTCGAAACAGCTTCAGGCGGTGACGGAACCGAGGAGCGGTGGCAGTGCCGATGGGGCGGAGGAAATAGACGGAGGAGGAAGCCCAGCGGAGAGCCGAGCGGATCTCCATGGGAAATTGGGGAGGAATCGTCGCCATCACGCTATGACAGATTTGGAAAATGGTCACTCGGTGTTCGTTCACTCCGGAGCTTTAAGGATCTTCATCTCCGGTACACGTGGAGAGACGACCGGTGATGACGTTGTTGTTGACTTTCTTCTTCTTCTTCTCTTCACCGCTAATTGTTTGGGCTTTCCAAATTGCAAGCCCAATTTCACAATCAGATTTTGGGTCTCCGGCCTTTTGATAAGACAAGAAAGATAAAGCGTAAAGCAATTAAGAATTTTTCATGATCATTTTTAGTTTGAATCTAGCTCTTTCTTTTTTGATTTGACTCAAATAAGAGAGACAAAGTTGAGCAGAACTTTTTCTTTTTAGATTCATAAATTTAAGCTAATAATTTTAAATTAGGTTTTTTTTTTTAATTTTTGATATATAGAGATTACATGACATATTGATATAATCATTATATTGTTCTTATTTTTAGTCATTTTTGTTATTTAAACTCACCAAATTTAAGAAACTTTAATATAAAAGAACTTTAATTTTTTACTTTATGTTTGGATTATATATATAGTTTATGTTTTCTTTATTTCGGTTATTTTTTTGAAAAAAGAACTGAACTTGATTGGATCAATTATATGGTTAATAGATTAAGAAGAGTATCACTATGATTTCTGAAAACAGAAACCATAAAGCTAAAGTGAAGTGAAGGTAGCTTTTTCTTTATGGACCAAACGTAACTTTATCTTTGCTTCCAATGAGTTTTCCCGAGAAACTCCTAAGCCCAAAGAGATTTTCCGTTTCCCGCTTCCTTGAATGAGTAGAGACGCTTAGCAGAACCACATCTCCAACACCGCCAAAGGTAAACTCGTGACTCATCGTCTTCTATAGTGGAATTGAGATATCATCATGGTGTTTCTGTTTTGTGGCAATCGTGCATTTGATTTTCGTTACTTGCATAGTGGCATTACTATAAGCGGACTTGAAACTTGAAAGCTCACTTGAGTTCGAGCAAATTCCCTTTTTAGCAGCTTCCCAAATGTTTATGTATACTGTATACAGAAGTTAAATTGCTTCTTTAGCTTTTAGCAAGACCATAGTTTGGAACCTATTTTCTTGGACCAATTTATGCAAAAATGCTTCTCTCTTGTGGAGTTACAGATAATAAGCTATGCCAGAGATTCAGTTGGGTTCTCATACGATAAGATCCCATGGAGTCACGGTGGCGAGGTTCCACATGCATGACTGGCTCATTCTTCTGTTACTTATCGTCATAGAGATTGTGCTGAATGTCATCGAACCTTTTCACCGTTTTGTTGGAGAGGATATGCTCACTGACCTCAGATACCCTCTCCAAGACAACACCATTCCTTTCTGGGCTGTCCCGGTATATAGTTTTTTAAAAATTTCTGAAATATCTATTAATATTATTAAAGAGTTACTCTTTGGTCCAGCTCTAATTCCTCTGTTCTTACAGTTGATAGCAGTTGTGCTCCCTTTTGCTGTCATTTCCGTTTACTACTTCATCAGAAGAGATGTGTATGATCTGCATCATGCAATCTTAGGTACCAACGGTGCTTTTTGATGTTTCAGATTGTATGCATCTTCTTGATATTTTTTTTACTACGGTGTGGTTATTGATTCTTCAGGTCTTTTGTTCTCTGTGCTCATAACCGGAGTGATAACCGATGCTATAAAGGACGGTGTAGGTAGACCTCGTCCTGACTTCTTCTGGCGTTGTTTCCCTGATGGTAGAGGAGTAAGCAGCTTCACTCATCTTCTTGCCTACTCTTATAACCCAACTGTGGAATATTATCTAATCTCTAACTAGCTGATTGGAGTTGTGATTCTAGTTCTTTCACGAGATCACGAGGAACGTTCTGTGTACTGGAGACAAGGCAGTGGTCAAAGAAGGACACAAAAGCTTCCCCAGTGGGCACACATCTTGTAAGTTGTTGTTATCTTTGGGCTTCTTGTGCCATGAGAGAGATCCTAAGAAGTTTGTCAATGTAACATGCAGGGTCGTTTGCTGGTTTAGGATTTCTAGCATTGTACTTGTCTGGGAAAATCAGGGTGTTTGACCGGAGAGGGCATGTTGCAAAGCTCTGCATTGTGATCTTACCTCTGCTGGTTGCAGCATTGGTTGGTGTGTCCAGAGTTGATGATTATTGGCATCACTGGGAAGATGTGTTTGGAGGAGCTATTATTGGTTTGTGTTTGTTTCTTTAAACTCATGCGCTTAAACATTAAGTGATACACAAAAACTGATTAGAGAACACATATTTTCTTGCAATGTGTAGGATTAACGGTGTCTTCCTTTTGTTATCTCCAATTCTTTCCACCTCCATACGATCCAGATGGTGTGTGACTCTTTCAGAAGAAAGTCACTTTTGATTTTATAGCAAGGAAACACTGACCTCTCTCTTTCCATGGATTACTTACAGGTTGGGGACCTCATGCGTACTTCCAGATGCTGGCGGATTCCAGAAACGATGTCCAGAATCATCTAAGCGTGAGGCAAGCTGAGCTTGAGAACGTGTACGTTGATCAACAAGAGACTTCCATGGAAATATCAAGAAGCAACACACGAATGCTAGAGATCCGTTAGCTTTGAATTGGGGGACAAAAAATTGGAGGAAAAGAGAAATCGCTAGAAGGAGGGCTCGAACCTCCGACCTTGTGGTTAACAGCCACACGCTCTAGCCATCTGAGCTATTCCAGCTTCTTGTTTACTGTGTACGTTACTAAAATCAAGTCAAAAAGTTGAGGCTTTTTTTGGGGTCCAAAATGCGCACTATTCAAACCGGACTATGATTGATACAGTTACAAACTATTAGGCTAAATGTTCCAGTCAATAACAAATTATATTGTTATGACAAGATTATGACTAAAACAAATTATTAGACTACAAAAATGTCCCCGATCAGTCATAATATATGGTAAGATTTATGAAAGTGAAATAGATATTTTTGTTTTTCTTTTGTTCAATGGCATTGGCACGTACAATTTAGATGATATTGATGTATGGCCTTCTTGTCAAAAAGGTAATCGGAAAGGATATGAATGTGGGGATCGAGGCTCATGCGCCCCTGACGAAATGGCCCCGGCCGTTTGGCCATTTCCTTGATTTTAGGATATCAAACATTTTCTTATTCACACTTCACACTCTTTTTCCTCCTTTGAGTATCCAATGATTGCTTTTCTCTATATTTTATGGCTGTTTTAACGAACAGATTTTAAAAATACAGTATGAGTCATTTCATTTAGGCTTTTGATGAGTTTGTCCAGTGAGATTTGCACTCTGTCTTGGATTCCTCTTAAAAGTCTTTCTTTTTTCACTCCCTTTTACTTTTTACCTGTTGTTGAATTTTGCAAGATCTATGCCACTTTATTGTTACAAAAACTCTTACGGGATTTGGATAACTAGTGTTATCATCTAACTAAGTAAGCTGTATATGATTTATAGATAACGGTTTGTGATTTCACAATTCTTGTATTATTCAAGAGACTAAAAGTAAACAAGAAGCTGGTGATGTCATGATTATTGTATTTCTAGAGGTTTTTTCGTCTTTTGATTGGATGCCACTATCTTATACTCTTATTATATATGTAGAAACCATTTTAAGCCTGATTATTGTTATCATTTTGAAAACTCAAAAGTGTAATATGTTTCTGAATAATTATGGCTTAAAGGCGTAAAGAGAGCCCTTTGACTTCTCTAACACAGACGGGCCTCCTAATAGTAAAAGATAGCGACTTGTGTAGTATATGCTCACATATTACATTCATCATTATTTAGATAAATTAAACTAACAAGTTAATAGAGGGAAAAGAAAAAGACAGTCGACAAAGAAATGGAGGAATGAGTGACGCAGAAAGTGGCGTTGTGGTGATGTAATACAGTCTAATCTAAGTAGTGCTGTGTGTGGACGGCTCGGATCGAGAGAGGCTGGTGAGTGGTCTCACTTTAAGGGTAAACTGGGAATATTACGTACGAGTGGAGGGCCTTGAGGGTCAACGTAAATAGATATAAAGGTGTTACCTTTTTGTCTATTTAGTCACTAAAAGACTAAAGAGTAAAAAAGATGTTGGACAAAAGTTTACGACACGACGAAATTGAGACTCACCGGTCTGACTACACCATATGCACGTCTCGTCCTCCTCAATTTTGTTTTTCTGTACATCTTTGTCGAAACTGTTAATGTGATTATAATCAGAAAGACTATCACACGATATACGAGTGTAACTTGTACTTTGAGGTTAACTAGTGAAACTACGTAATGGATCAGGTCTGCGAATCGGTGGAGTTAAGATAGGTTGGGATTTGGAAGATGGGATATATGTGCATTGGGTGATGAATGATGATGAACGAGCATCACAAATAGCACACAGAAACACACACATGTGTGTGTACAATAAAAAAACTACGTACGGCGACATGATGACCAAATGAGGAAGGCCCATTTATTTGTCTGCTCATTCTCTAACATCCAAATCTATATTCAATGCTCTCCTGTCTTTGGTTTTATTTGCAAACCAAATTTTACTACTTTGTTTATAACAAACGAGAAGAAACTTTAGTAATGACTAGTATGTCAAATGAAGTGTAATCACGGAATAATAAAAGTGTAAACATTTTTGTGAACTGATTAAAAAAAAAAAAAAAAAACTTCTTGCGATGGTACATCATAGATAACAAAGTCACTTCTTAAAATATATTAAATGTTATGCATGACAAAAGTGGAAAAATCAAGTTTTCATTATACAAGAAAAAAAACGCAGATAGATGTTATACCATTCAACATCGTTCTGCATTAATCCATGTATGCTCTAACTTATGTATACCAACATGCAAACAAAATATAACAGCTTTATATTTGCATAAACAAATTATAGAGAGAAAGAGAGCATTTGGTATAGTGAGGAAAAAAAGGAAGCTAGCACAACACTCAAGGCCAAGACTATTCCACTATCTCTCCATCTACGTGCCTTTCTATGCATCCTTTCCTAACAAGTATTTCACTATTTAACCTATTCTCATTTATCTACATTAACAAACTCCAACAACCATGCTTCCTTCCTCTTAAAATTGTAAAAAGGAATTTAGGGAAAACATACCCAAGAGGCTCGGAGATCAAAGTTTTTTATAATTCTTTCACATCCCCCAAGTTTTTTGTATACATTTCACATTTGACCCTCAACGTCACTCTAAACTCTAAACCGTACCCCAAATTGCGCCAATCACTTGTATATCATTACTATACACAATCATATTACTTTTTAATACATAATAAAAAGGTGGAGAGGGACATAAGCCCCTTGACCCATTATATAAGACCCACTCATCATTCCATCCTTTTGCACACTGCCTATTATATCAATCCTTCTTCCTCTCTAATTTGTTGCTTTTATATAACCAAGTCTTTGCTTTTTAGAGGTCAGCTATGGTGTCTACAGAAGAAGACGAAGGTCTGAGAAAGATGGTTGAAGGTGTTTTGTGTATGAAACATTGATGATGACATTAATGGATGGTTTGGAGAAAGATGGGCTTTGCAATAGTTTACGCTCTTTCATAGAAAGGTAACTCTGGGGAGAGCGAGATTATTGCATTGCTTGCTGTTGGGGAATCGAAGGTTACTGGTCCGATTTTTTTTCCTTGCCCGAAAAAAATCATTCTTATAATATCTCTTACTCTTAGTGCTTCTGTGCTCGTACGCGTGTGTTTAGATCTACGATATCACTTTCCTTTTTTATGCTATGTTATGAATTAAAGAGTGTCCTTGTAGTGATGGTATCAACTATATAACAAAATTTACGTTTCAAATGAATAAGAGTGTGTAGCATGATGAGCATTGAGAATTTAATATCGAATGGATAATGAGTTGAATCTTAAGGAACGAAGCTGTTTTTTTTTATATTTAATTGTGTCTCCTCTTTTGTTTAAAGCCAACTAAAACAACACTTAAACGACGTTTGAGTTTGTAAAACTAGCTAAGAGAATCAAACTCTATGTTAATGTTGTAGAAAAATGAAGAAGGTGTTGATGCAATTCGACAGTGTTAAAACTTAAAAGGCTCGTCTATAATATTAGCGGGCCTTTGTCCTCTCTATTTAATTCGAAGATATTATTTTGTAAGCCCACCAGTTTTGTTTGTTATCGTTACAAACGAACACAGTTTCTAACTTTCTACATACAAAGAAAATTCCAATCTGTCTCCACTTCTTAAAACTCCAAAAAATTTATACAGACGAAAATTCAGGATGAAAATTCAAAATTGCCAAGTGAGACTGGAATAATAAGCCCTCCTCCAACTTGTAAAAATAGTGGACGAGGTTCGACTTTTGACTTCAACAATACAGAGGTTAATCTTGAACCACATCATAGCCGTAGTTAGTTAAAAAAAACCACTAATACTTCAATTTGGAAAAACGGACAATGAGTCTTTGCGGTTCGGTTTCTTTTCCAAGATGAAAACAGAAATTAGAGACGTCGCTGTGTCACGTTCTGACAAATGTGACGCAGAATGATAATTTGGTAAGGCACTAGGACACGATTACGCTTTTGTATTAAAACATGAATACGAGAGGTATTGTTAATAAACACTCTTCTCAAATCAAGCAACTTGAAATGAAATTTAGGACAAGTAATAACCAAAATTTACAGAGACTGGTGAAATGAAATATCTTTCTTCTCCATCTATACTCAAAATAAGGAAAACAGAATCCAAACTGTGACAAATTGTATATTCAAAAATTTACAGGTGAGAAACTGAACACACAAAGGTCCTCTACCAAGTCAGACTAGAGGCACCTCAAAAACCAAAAAAAAAAAAAGAAGAGAGAAAATAAGGGCGCGCGTGGTCGAATCGACCAGCCGGCCACCGAAATTCTCTCACAGCCGTTGGATCGGAATCTTCTAAAATCGAAGCGCACACGTGAATCAGTGGAGAGAGAAGCAGGAGATCAAATCCCTCCCGACGCGCCGCTGCGTTTTCGAGACGCAACCGTCGGCGACCAAAGCGGATCTACAGAGAGGACATGTGAAATTGAGCTGGTGGAGCCATCCTTCCAAGCACTGCTTGTGGAACACGTGTCGACATTCGAGCTTCCTCACCTCTTCTCCTTCCTGTAGCTTCGACAGACACACCACGCAATCGGAGCCGCCTTCGTCCGCGCACCGGTACGAGAAGAGCCGATTCAGGCTCAGCTGATCGGCGAGCACGATGATGTTGGCGAGTCCCGACGCTATGATGGATCCATCATCGACGGGGAGATTCGAATTGGAAGCGCAGAGGTGGAGGAGGAAAGATCGGAGACGGTTGACAAAGACGGCGATGAGAGAGAGGAGCATCAGAGGGATCGAATCGGAAGAGACGTCACTGAGCTGACCTTGTAGCCCCATCGTCTTCTTTCTTCCTCTCTCTCTCTCTCTAATTTGTATTTATAGCTTTTTTGCTTAACCCATCACACTCTTTCTTTTGTTTTGTTTTTTCCTTTTTTTATTCATCGCTAATAAATGGTCAAACGGAATTCTAGTTTGTTTTCAAGACTTCTTTGCAATAATGATGAAAATGAAATTTATACAATAAAACTATACAAGGTCGAAAATCATTTGAGTTAAATAGTTGAGTACTTTGATATTTATTGTGAACTCCTTTTTAATCATTCTCTTACCACTCATAATTAAATCAAATGAGGTTAGACTGGTTAGTCATAAATACCAAATCTTTTATACATGTGCTATGGTTTTCACAAAATTTGATTTTATACAAACCAACATCATTTCTTTCCCACTTTATATTCCAACCGCTCAATTTTTTGGTTATATTAGAAAAATACTACTTCTAACGTTTTAATTAATTTTTCGTTGCTATTTTTATATTAAAATTCAGCATTCAGCGATTTTTTTTTTCCGAAATGAAATGCGTTTTCCGATTAAAAAGAAAAAGAGTGAAATGATAGTAGTGGCTGGTATGAATGTTTAAGCTAATACAGGGTCACATACTGAGGGGGACCAACTTATTATTTTTTAAGATGATATTTTTTTTTATTGAGAAACAATTAGCTGAACACTGATGAAGATTTTGCACGATCCTCGCTAACTTATTGTCTCACCACCTTCCATATTTTATACGTTTTGGACCTCCAATAATCATCATACCTCATCAATTCTACGGTTTCTACCTTATAAAAATATAACTTTAAAAAAACAAACAAAAGTTAAGATTATTTAATTGTTAGGAGATTTGTCTGGATGGATCGAAACTGGTCCAAATCTCTGTCTTAATTACGTGACCACAATGAAGGAAACTTAAAGGAGAGTGAGTTCGACCAGAATAAAAAAAACAAAAGAGTGAAAGATAAGTAACACAGTAGTCATGCATTGGAACAATGGTTAACGTATTAATTTTGCCGTATAAACCACAATTATAAGTTTGAGTTTATATTTGAAAAAGAAAGTGGAAGAAAAGAAGTCTCCGTTTTCGCCGTCCAAAAAGATCTGAGAATCCACCGACTAGCACAAGTTGGGATTAAGTAAGGTGATTAACACATTGATTAGGCTACAAACAAAACCATACCAGTTATTATTGTTATAATATGATAACGAAGTGCAGTGGGTTTTAAAATAAAAAGAAAGTTCGAAAAGGCAAGACGAAAAGGACGTTATTGTCTTGTGTATCATAATTAGCAAGGTCTTAATAAATTGGTGATTACCAACTCCAATGAGATTAGTATTGTGTGGTGTCAAAACATGTAATGATTTAAGTAATACTTATATTTTTCATATTAGAAGAGAAGGCAGGTAATATAGAGGCCATTCATTTTAAGCATGTTGTGGCTGAAGGGAAACCACACAAGTTCAAATAATTGTGTGGAGAAAAAGGCAGGTCGCAGTCATATAGTTGAATCAACCAGACCAATTTCTATTGAGTCTCCATCAGGCCCTAATGTACCTATAGTATGGGCTTGACCATTTGTTTTTGCAGTAATTTAGGCCCATTTTGTTTTCAGTTATCATTACTTTGATTGGAAAACAGATATATATATATATATTTTTTTCTTTGCCTGCTATACCAATCTAATGCAATATAGATATTTAAACAAACTAACAAAATGTTTATGGCTGTTTGATCTTTCGAAATTTCACAAAGATGATAAACACATGCAAAACCTATTGCGAAGTTACTTGATTTGATTGATTTTAGACATATGTATTTAACTCAATAATGGATTAATGGTTAATTTAGCATTTCTTGTACCAGAAAATATGTTAGTTTCGAAATTGAGTATTAAAAAAACGATGCCTTACCAAATTGATTGAAAATGAAAAGGAATCACATGGCAGTTGGTCGCTCTGCGTTGATCTAACAAGAAGTCAAGAAGCAATTGGTGGTTATAATGGTAGCATTTTTAAGTATCAATGGACAGCTTCTGACCTGAAAGCAACAAGTTATAAAATATGTTGTTTTTGGTGCCATTGCAAGACAAAATGATAAATCGTTAATTATATCTCATCGCAGGTGAAAAAATCTTGTTTGACTGTTTCTTTGAGAGTGAAACATTTACTTTTTTTTTCTTTCTTTCTCATCTTTTCCTGAGCTTTGACTCAACAAAAACACAAGCATTTGTAAATATAAACAAAAAGGTCCAAACTCTAGGGGTTGGTTGTATTAGCAATTAGGAGGCATGTGGTGGATCAGTCATATGCATAGAAAAGAAACCATAATCAAAGTCGTCCGGAGGGATCAGAAACAAGAAAGGACCACTCTTTCTTGCTTGTCTTCATATGCTAACACTTATACTTGAGACTGACCATTTTGAGGTTGTCCTCCTCGCATCATTTCTAGATGTAGACCACACCACTCTCTCTCTCTCTCTCTCTCTCTCTCTCCCCCTCATCTACCATTTACATGAGATTAATCCTTCCAAGTTTACTTGTTTCTCATTACATAACTAAACTCTTGTGATGAATATCATTAATTAATGATAGGCTTATTGTCATGATTATATGTGTATGTAGTTTATTACGAAATCATTCATTGTCACGCTATTATTGGTATCAATCGATATGATGATAATATACACGTAGAGCTGTAATGCCTTTTTATTCTGCCAATCATTACCACTTCAATGATTTCGATTTTCGAATATCATCAAATCGAAATTCTTAATCCCTCAATCCCATCATTTACTTTGACCTGATCATCATTATCTTTATCTCTTTCTCACGTTTTTTCTTCTTGTACTGTTTAATTTACTTGCGGAATATCCACGCTTTTATTCCAAGAATCTCGTCTTATAACTTTTTATGATTTCAAATCCCATTGTTAATTATTTAGCTATTATTATTACTTTATTATTTTTAGCTATTTATTACTAACGGTAAAAGAAAAAGAAAAAAGAGTGAGAAGAGGGGTAATGTTGTGACAAGTGGTGTCTCCATCTGCATGGTCTTCTTATAGGAATGAGCTGTTTAAATTTGTTTCTATTCGAATTCAATTTTTTCCAGATACCAATTACTGCTCAAGTTTTTTTTATTCGGAGTTATGTGATGATTTTAAATTTTTAATCAATGAATTATAGTTAGGTAATTCATTCTCTACATTTGTACATTTAACATGGATTAATAGGTTCTACACATGATTATGAGGACAAACATGAGTGAAACGGTCTCAATCCAAGGGAGGAACATCAAATGGACCAAATTTGGGAACCGGAAGAGGTAAGGAGTCCGAAATGTACCTCTGTGACTCCACATTGTGGAAACTCACTTGTAGTGTATAAGATGAACTAGATGGACCCATACTTACCAAACATGGATTAATAGGTTCTACACATGACTATGAGGACAAACATGAGTGAAACGGTCTCAATCCAAGGGAGGAACATCAAATGGACCTAATTTGGGAACCGGAAGAGGTAAGGAGTCCGAAATGTACCTCTGTGACTCCACATTGTGGAAACTCACTTGTAGTGTATAAGATGAACTAGATGGACCCATACTTACCCAAACATGGATTAATAGGTTCTACACATGACTATGAGGACAAACATGAGTGAAACGGTCTCAATCCAAGGGAGGAACATCAAATGGACCTAATTTGGGAACCGGAAGAGGTAAGGAGTCCGAAATGTACCTCTGTGACTCCACATTGTGGAAACTCACTTGTAGTGTATAAGATGAACTAGATGGACCCATACTACCCAAACATGGATTAATAGGTTCTACACATGACTATGAGGACAAACATGAGTGAAACGGTCTCAATCCAAGGGAGGAACATCAAATGGACCTAATTTGGGAACCGGAAGAGGTAAGGAGTCCGAAATGTACCTCTGTGACTCCACATTGTGGAAACTCACTTGTAGTGTATAAGATGAACTAGATGGACCCATACTTAACCAAACATGGATTAATAGGTTCTACACATGACTATGAGGACAAACATGAGTGAAACGGTCTCAATCCAAGGGAGGAACATCAAATGAACCTAATTTGGGAATCGGAAGGGGTAAGGAGTCCGAAATGTACCTCTGTG